TATATGCTTTAAATGGCCAGAGAAGAAGTTGATGATTATAATGGCCACAATTTGAAAGTTGATGATTTTAAAGACATTTTTCCCGTTAATTATTTGATATGACCCAGAGAATAAAAAGGTAAATATAGATTGATGTCCATCTATTATCCTTCAGTCAGCTTGGAGTATTTTTTTTTTTTTTGGTAAAAAAAGCTGAGTATTTGAGTAGAAAAACGAATCCATAAAGATCAAATTAAATCTTAAATCAATCAAAGACAATATCAAGAAAATGAATGAAAAATATATTATTATGAGAATTTTGTTACATAAAAAAAAAATATATATATCTGTATTTAACTCATTTAGTTTTTATTTTTTCTTCGTAAAAGATGAATAAGTGTGGACATCAGAAATTTTATCAGAGTTTACTTCGTGGTGAATTTGTCTTTAATCTTAATAAATATGAGTTGCAGCTCGAAAGTTGTTGAATGTATCAATATAATGTTTTGAGTTATTAGTATTAGTTTCACTCGAAAGGCTTCCCCGTCTCTTATTATCTGTTTCCACATCAAAGTCAGCTTTGGAGTCAAAAAGCATGCAACAACTATTACAATAGATACCTGAGGCCTGAGGGCTTGTAGTGATGCTGAGGACAATCCGGTATCATTCGATGACATGCAGCTTCACCTCGATATGTGGTTTGTTTCTCACACAAGTTAAAGCAGAACATCAGAACAGAGTCAATTTTGTCGAAATAGATGATCATACCGCAAGTCTCTTTGTTAGCTTCTTCGGCCTTAGTGATTTGAGAAACCGTTGACTCCCTTTGCAAGGCTCTCGGATCTATTTCACGGGCCTAAACGGATGCAACTCTAGACAGCCCAATTAGACCCATTGATAATTTTGTTTTTATAAGGTTTTTTGTTTTGCTAAAATCGTTTTGGATTTCGAGACACGACAATCTCTGCTGCTCGAGTCTCGACGGTCTCGTTTCGTTCTTCAAGAGATCCGAATCCCGCTCCCATTCTTAAATCTCAAGTTCGGAAATTCTTCGTGGTGGGTCTTCATCATCTCTACGTTAGTTAGTCTTTCTCCACTGTCCTTCTCGATTTTTCCACAGTTAAGTCGAACTCAACAATAATCTAATTTTCTATGGGATTACTTTTTTCCGCTACTTCATAGCTCTCCACTGGATCCTTGAAGCATACTTCTCCATTGTTAACTCTGCTGCCTAATTCCTCGATTCTCTCTGTTTCTTCTTCAAAATCTAAACTTCAGGTTTCGTTTCTGCCTATATCCCTTTCTAGTTTTATCCTCCATTCGTGGTTACTATCATGTCAGGACAAGTTCAACGACATTGTGATTGCTTGCTTCTGTAGAATGCATCATCTTAAAAATAACGTGATTACTTTTTTTATAAATCACTTGGCCGATTCATCTTTGAATCAAAAAGGGATAAATATCAAACGTTCTTAGTTTTGTTCAACCCAGTTCCTACTTTAAAATGCGTTTATACGATGTTTTTACGAGTTCCTAGACTAAAAGAGTTGTAGTTAGTAATAAACTAAAAATCATTTACAATATCCTTTATTCAACATATTATGCTTTTTTGTTTCTATATGGTCAAAAGGTTTGATTTTTGATGCTATAATATGCAGTTCGATTCCATGGCGCCGAGATGGAAATGGAAAGGTGCTGAAGCAAAAGCTCTCGCCGAACCTATTTCAAATTCCGTATTAGAGCTCCAGCTTTCTCTAGCCAAAACAGAGTCCTCGGGTACCCTCTCGAGTTGCAATGTTCTTCTAGCGGTTGAGCCAGAGCAAGCTGAGCTTCTCGACCGTTGTTGTTTTGGCAGACTCGTTCTATCTGCAGAAAAAGTGAAGAAATGGATTCAGTTATCTTTTGAAGAAGCTTTCTTTTTGTTCCACACTCTCAAATGCATCAAAATCTCTCTTCAAGGTCGTTGCTTGGAGAATGAAGTAGACACATGGATGTATATGAAATCAAAAAGACCAAACTTCCCAATGTTTTACAAAGCTTATTCACATCTACGATCGAAGAACTGGGTTTTGAGATCAGGGTTGCAATACGGTGTGGATTTCGTGGCATACCGTCACCATCCATCTCTTGTCCACTCTGAATACTCGGTTTTGGTTCAGTCTGGTGATAGTGATCGACTAAGAGTGTGGTCTGATATCCATTGTGCTGTTCGGTTAAGCGGAAGTGTTGCCAAAACGTTGTTGACTCTCTACGTCAATGGTAATTTCAAAGGAGAGGGATTGAATCTACCTGCGTGTTTGGAGGACTTCACAGTGGAGGAACAGACAGTAAGTAGGTGGAGTCCCGAACTTAGTCGTGAAGATGAAACCACAAATTCAAAACCAATTGTTACCTCTGTGAGTAATTTGAAAAACCCTTGAAGAACCATTCCCGCTTAACTCAGTACTAGTTTGAATTTTATGTATCAATTGGAAATTTATTTTCTTTAAGATGCATAACATACAGTTATGTTTTACTTATTTTCTGTTAGTAGACTTGATAATCGACGAAAAGAAATATTTTTCTTACGCTTATCTTTTCACTGTAATAACTCCTATCATGTTTATTCTCTGCCATTGGATTTTTAAATATGTCTCCATCCTTCTGCATTAAATATTCATGAGCTCTATACAATTCTTGGTGGGTCAGGCGACATTGAAGAAGTAAAGAGGAGGCTGACAATATCAATTCTGTAAACAAGGTTTTATTCATCCTGTGCCTTGGAGTGATAAGATTACATTATGCAGTCCCAAAAGGCAAGGTAGATATTGGTTTTTGTCTTTGAATGGTTCTTTGCATTTATAGCTGATTCTTCTCCTGTTTTGTGAGAGTTTTTGCACTTTTTCAACGGGGAATCTTGAAGGTTACATTCTTGTGGTCCTCAGAACATATTTGTTTCCATTTTATCACGAATTTACTGTAGTCTCGTCATGAAGAAGAAGACCCAATCTATGTAGCAACAAGTTACGACAGTTATGATCTGTTTCTATTAGTTGAAGTTCTTTTTGTTCTCTGGCTCATTTGCTTGCAGCTCTGGAGTGTGGTATCTTCTTGATTTACAATTTAATTTATCTTTGGGTTTTGGGGCAGAAATGGATCTCCAGGTGTTCCTAAGAAGGTATCTTCTCGAGCTGCTCGGCCACTGAAGATAGCAGCGCTAGAGTCTGATTCCTCTTCACCTCCTGTCTCAGTTAATAACAGAACACCAAAGGATAAAAGTCCAAAAGTTCCGGATCGTAGGTCTCCACGAAGCCCTGTCTCTGAGGTATGAGCTTCATGTAATAAGCTGAATCAGATGTAATAAGGGTCTTGAAAAAATCCTTCTTTTGTTTTATTCATTGTTGGGGTCAATTGAACGTTCGATTTCATAAATCCCTTTTATTTGCATGATCCAAAATAAGCCTTTCCGACATAACATGTTTCTGTATTGATTTTGATGATGGAAAATTTAGGATACATTTGATATGGGGGCCTATGGGATATAGAATTAGGTGGAACATTTAATTTGGGTAGTTGAGAGATGATAGTGTAACTAATTTTTAACTGAATTTTCTGCTTATTCTTATTCTTGAGATTAGTGTAACACTGTGATATGTTTCATGGCTAACAGAAGAAGAGGCCAAGTATAATAAAGGAGTTAGAGTCGCTAGTATCACATCTTCAGGAGGAGTTAAAGAAGGCGAAAGATCAAGTCTCAGTATCTGAAACATCAAAGAAGCAAGCAGAGCAAGAAGCAGATAAGTCCAGGAAACAGCTGCAAGAAGTTTCCTCTAAGCTTGAGGAGAACCAGAATCAGTTTTTGGAAGTTTCAGCCTCGGAAGAAGAAACTGATAAAACATGTTCTCTTGTTCATCAAGGTATCTCTCAGGAGTGTGGTTTGGAGTTTAGTGCTACTGCTGGTGAAAGAGCAGGATTGGCTGCTGTTGCTCATGAGATTCGAGAACTCAAGCTTCACATTGAGATGCTGGCTACTTCTGAAGCTGGTCATGTGAAACAAGCTGAGTTGCATAACTCGGAGGTACAACTATTGAGAGGAGACCTAATGGACACGTTTTTCCTTGTCGAAGATTTCAGGAACCAACTGAAGGACTGTGAGGTATCAGAAGCTGAGACCGAGGCTTTAGCCACTGAAACTCTTAGGCAATTGGAGAATGCGAAAAAGGCAGTCGAAGAACTGAAGTTAGATGGCACAAAAGCAGTTGAGAGTTACAAGAAGATGGCGGTGGAGCTTGAACAGTCAAAATCAAGGATGGCATGGCTTGAAGCTCTTGTGAATAAACTTCAGACCAATCCAGAGGATTTGGAAAACCACGAAACCCTGCTCAAAGACTATGGAAGTTTAAAACGTGGGGAATCAAATGAGATGGAAGAAGAAGTATCTTCCTTAAGATGTGAGGTAGAGCGACTGAGAGCGGCTCTAGAAGATTCTGACCAGAAAGACCAAGAGGGGAACGTGGAGGCTTCTTCTTGGTTACGGATACAAGCTGAACTCCAATCTGAGCTAAAGATAGCTAAATCTGAGACAGACGAGCTAAAGGCGAGGTTGATGGACAAGGAAACAGAATTGCAGTTTATTTCAGAGGAGAGAGATAACCTATGCCTGAAACTGATGAAGAACCAGAAGGAAATAGATATTGAAGCTGAGCTGAAGAAACTAAGGGAAGCAATTGAGAATTCAAAGGCGGATTTGATGGATAAAGAGACAGAACTCCAGATCATTTCAGATGAGAATGAGACATTGAAGTCAGATATCCAGAAGAGAGAGACAGATGTTCAAGACGTGTTCATGAAGCTAGGGATTGCAATGGAAGAGGCTGACAAGAGTAGCAAAAGAGCAGTTATAGTTACAGAGCAACTAGAGGCTACTCAAGCTTCGAACTCAGAAATGGAAACGGAACTCAGGAAGCTTAAAGTTCAATCAAACCAATGGAGAAAAGCTGCTGAAGCAGCTACTGCCATGCTCTCTGCTGGAAACAATGAGAAATTCGCGGAGAACAATAACCAAACGAACTCCCCTTACTCTGAGGATATTGACGATGAATTGATAAAGAAGAAAAATGGGAATGTGCTCAAGAAAATTGGTGTTTTGTGGAAGAAGCCTCAGAAATAGATGGAGAATGACAAATATAATTAGGTCTCTCTTCTAAAGTTAGTATCTTTGTTTTTTTTTTTTTGTATCTGGTGTTCTAATTTCTCCAAAGAAACTGACTCTTGCTTTGCCCCTCTTGATTTTTGCTTCTCAGGTACCGTCGGTTTGGAGTTGGATTATAAGAGCAACTCATGTGCCTCCGGTAATGATGTGAAATAGTAGTTTGAGAACTATGCTCTGGAAAAGATACTTGTTCGAAATATAAACTAAAAGCATGTCATTTTGAAACCAGTTGGTGTCTGTTAATGTCAAAAACATGAAAGCCTCTGGTGCACTTAGCTGTATTAGAATCATCACTGGGCCTTGGCCTAATGGGCCCAATGGGTCCTTCACCTGTCGTTTCTGATTTTTCTAATACTGTACGACGTGTACGTTCCTTCATCCTTTGTAATAGAAAATAAATGTATGCAAGAAACAAAAAAGAATGTCACAAAAATTGTTGACAATGGAAAATCAAACATTTAATTTTCAGAGTTTGGCAAACAAAAACTTGCATTCTTTTCTCTTTTAACAGCACAAAAATGTTAAATTTTAAAAAATAAAGATATATATATATATATATATAGAGAGAGATAGCATTCTATATATAGAAAGTTTTATTCTATACTTGTTTTATCTTTTTCTTTACTGTTCATTTTAACTAAACTTATATATATATATATATATATATATGCACACTTCATATTTATATGTGGATTTTTGTATGATGATGTCAGTATAAACATATATATTACACTTCATAGTATTACTTGCTCGGGTAATTAGCTTCAATACATAAGCATATATTACTGGCGAATTTTATTCATTAACTTAGGTTTTGTTATTTAGGGTATGTTTGTATATATACATAAACACGTGTTTCTATAAAGAAATAACTAAACTAAACTACCAACCAACAAACATATAAAATATTTAAAACATTCTCACAAGTGTGTATAGTTGGCATATGTAAGCAAAATTAGGTTAGGTGAGATCTTTCATCTTTGCTAGAGTCATCATCATTTCTGGTCTTATATTTTCAACCAGTAAATTCAATATACATATTTAAATTCTAGTCAGAATCGATTAGAGTACTTGATATAGTATTAACTAGTCCACATTATACAAATACTCAAATTGAAATTATATTATACATTACTAACATTGATTCTTTACGTCACTAAATCAATTAAGTATAAACATCAACTTCATTGACTGATCCATTAAGAAGCGTCTAGATGTCGGATTTTTTTTTAGGAGAAACTAATTAATGATTAGGTTTCAGCGAGTGAAATTAGGGTTTGAACTCACACTTCCATTATAGTAAGTAGTAAAAATCCAAAAACGGAACGTAATTTAGGGGAAAGATGAAATTCAAAGTTATAAACAACAAAGGAAATGTTTCATTCAGAAGATAGTGAAGTGAACATACAAATAAAGAAACTCGACAATTTTAAACAGAAATTGAAATACAAAAACAAAAAACTACCCCAATTAACCCCATTTGGCAAGTTTAAAACTCTTGAAGAAGCCCTAATTAATATATATCTTTCTATACTTCCCTTAAACATTTCATAATACAGCTACGTACCCCCCTTTTTCTCCCAATAAAAAACATGAAATTCAAACCCTAAATCAAAACCCAAATAAAATTGGGGTTTTAAGTTGAACTACATTAAAGCACCAGAATTAATATAGTTCATATTAGTCCAAATCTCTCTCCCTGAGTCAATCTGATCTACATGACCACCACCACCTGCTCCTATGTTCATCATTCCAAAGCTCTCTCCACTCAGCTGCCACGGGAATCCCCACAAGACCTTGCTTGGATCAGTACCCATCCCAATATCCAAACCGCTGCTCCCGTTTCCAAACGCATAACTAGCGTTCCCTTTTTGTTGGCTTGTCCCAAACACACTACTCTCCATGTCAGACTGATGAGAGCTGCTGAATTCCGAAGGAAACCCTAGCTGTGCAGAGCTTCCCGGAGGTTGTTTGTTCAGCAAGGCAAAGGCTAAGCTGAGATCGTTCTGTTCATTGGTACTATACCCACCGAAACTCGCCGCAGAGAATGCTTTCTCGTCGTAGGACGCCGGTTCTGGGGTGGTTCTGAGGCTTCTTGTAGCCGAAGATGTGGACCGTTTGTTTTTGCGGCAGCCTCCGCCAACGGGGATATTCCTTAGGGTTCCGCCTTTGGTCCAATATCTCCGGCATGATTTGCAGAAGTAGCGAGGCTGAGTGAGGCTGTAGTTGTTGTAGTAACAAAACTTTGTGTTTGTTGAGTCACAGCGTGGACATCTCAGAGCTAGCTCCGGTGGCTGTGGCCTTGTGGCTGCCGCCTCAGTCGCCTGATGAGAACGTTTTTTCTGATCCTGATCTAGTTGTGTCGGGTTCGATGGATATGATGATACTCCCATGGCTTCTCTTGCTTTGTTATAGTTCCCAAAAACATCCTTTCATAAGAAAGAAAGAAAACACACACACACATCAAGATTCTAATCATATATATATACAGACAAGCAAAACCCATCAAAGATGTTCTTAAACTGTATAGTTTTTACCTGATGCTGTAGCAAATGATCCATAAGAGGTGAATCTGAGAAAGCTGATTGTAACGAGTGTGATGGAGTGTTTATATGTATAGGAGATTGTTTGTTGAGATCAGAGAGAGAGAGAGAGAGAGAATTTTTGGATATGAGTAAAAGTGAAGCAAAAGGAAAAGCCAAGCATATGTATTTATATATACATGGGAATGTATGCGAGGAGATAGAGACACACACAATTGTTGTTGTGAGTTGTGACCTCGATCTCATATTTATATATATTTTTAAAATGGTAATGGTATGAAGAAGAAGAAGAATGTGAACCAATTCGGAACGTGATTTGGAACAGACAGACATAAAGCCGCCGTTTATTCATTTTTATAATGTAAACAAAATTTCTACGTATGCATATTAGAAAATACATGTTTGTACATAATTAGTATAGTATAGTAAGGAAGCATCGATATATAAAGGCATGTGCCACTGTATAAACTATAGACTAATAATATGTCTTTATCTCTTCGTATAGCTAGCTAGTGTTTTAATTAAGGCTTTGTTATATGTATATAGCTACTTCAAAAAAGATTATTCTTTTGGTCGCATAAACTAATGTTTTGGATGATTTTGATATCTGAAATTTGAAAAGGACCTTACATTTTAATTACTACTATGTATAAATTCTCCTAATTAATTATATCTTTTGCCTATATATATTAATATAATTAATACGAAGATCAAATTGTAGTGTTACAATTGAAGTAATTAATTATAGCCACATGAAAAACTTGGGAACTATAAAAAAAAAAAAAAAAAAAAAAAAAAAAAAAAAAAAACTCATAAAAGTGAATAAGTCCACAATAGTCCGAAATAATCACCAAACTCCACAGTAATAGTGTATCGGTCAATTTCTATTTGCGGTCAAAATATACACCCAATGATGATGAGTTGCAATCGATATCGTCCCTATATCAATAAACAATGTGAAATGGGATCTATTTGAGACAAGAAATGAATAGTAAACTTCGTACGATGATGGATGCAATGAGAGAAGAGATAGTATTAGTAAGTAGTGTTCGATCGACGTCGCACTCAACTTCGTTGTCATTTCTGTGTGTCCCCAAATGGCCCGTTGAGTTGTCGCCACGCGGGTCCGGTTCCCATCCTCATTCGCAGTGTCTCGTTTCTTCCTTAATGGACACTACGTACCGTTTCAAATTGTGACCTTTCGTAGTTCGTACTAGCTAGCTCGAGGACTCAACAAATTTCTATTTCGATCAGTGTTCAGTCATATATATCATGATGAGTACATTATAACTAACTAATTCCTATGTATAGAAAAAGCAAAGACATTTACAAATACTGAACTTTTATATTAATGTTAGTTGGTTTTTTAGCATGTGGTTTGATAGGATTATGTGAATTGTAAAACGTTTAAATGATTTCTTTAGCCTTTTTTCTTCTTCTATCGGATATTAATTAGTAAATTGCATTAAATTTGTCCTCCACTCTCATTGCCTTAACTCTTTTTCCTTTCTTAAAAAAAAAAAAACTCATATAAATTTTGATAGGCTACTAATGTTTCTATTTCTGTCAAAACATATTGGCCACAGTTTTTTTTCTCTCCTTCCAAATTTCTGCTTTTATGCTTTTATAACTTCTGCAATTTGTTGAGCATAATTTTCAATGATTTCTTGAAGACAAGTACTTATGTATTTTTAAAAATATATATGTATGTGTGTTTTTAACTAATGATTTTCAATCTGGAGCAACTATATATCATCATTAACTAATGTTGATTTCTTTGAAATATTTTTCTTTCTAAATTGAATATTTAATTCTAGGTACATTGCTTTCTACATATATGCACAATAAGATATGTAAATAGAACACACACACACATGTTATATGAAAAAGCAAAGAAATTGGCCGGACAATGTGTAGTCCATCATCATGATGTGGCTTGCATTATCCGATGGGGATTTTAAAGTTCATAGAGACACAAATCACACATCGGTTTTCGGGAAAGACACTTCTATGAAGACCGAGATTTGGTCTAAGGACCATATCCACACATTATAATGTAAGATGATCATATACTACTATATATAATTAAATTGCTTTTTCATCTTATAGAATCTTATACTATATTATATACGATTTTTTGAACCTTGTGTCATGTGATATTGATATAATGACTAACTCTCATAGTCTCAAACTATCATCATAAACTAATGTTTGATAGTTTTCTAGTGATACGTACCTAATTAATTTGGTTGTAGATTAATTCGATAACTCAATAACTCCCACACTTACTAAACTATATTTACTATATAGTATATAATAGGATTGAAAAATCATTTTCTTACGAACCTGTTTGTTTCCGTGATCCAGGAGTGGTGATCCATTCATTCACAAATTAAACAAACAATCATTGGTCTCCAAATCAAAACTGATGATCATTATAATTCCCCTTTGGACCCTACCTACTTGTGGCTCCCAAATTTTTATATCAAACTAATGATGACCAATAATATCCTTAGAAAATTTTGATTTGAAGTTTATTAATCTCGTATTCATATAAAATAGAATTATACCACCACAAACAGTTCACACACACCTTTTTAATCAATTAAAGATTTTCCACTCTTTTTATTTCTTTAATTATTTCCAGTATTTGGCATATGTTAAACACACATATTTTCACCTATTTCAGTTTTTAAGTCGTTTTACAATTATGAAGTTATATTTAATTTATTGAAAGTGTAATCGATTATTTTCAGTATAAACATACTATACATGTGTTGGAAAGCTGTGGAGAAACAGGAATATGAGAGTGACATAACATGATTCTTCCTTACTAAATCAACAATTCAGGAATCGAACACGTTATAATATTTCTATATATATGTATTAATAACTGGAAGTGGAGGGCACCACAGGAAAACATAATTGGGAAAGAAAAGAAAAAAAAGACATAGATAAGAGTTTTGGGGTTGACCAGTCAAAGTTGCAACATGTTCAGTTGCTTTAGATAGTGTCTCTCAATTAGACAAGAGTGACAAAACTAGAGAATTTCATGGGCAATAAAAAGAAGTTAAAGCTAGATCGTATTGATAAGAGAGCTAGCACTCTCATATTTCTATATATATGATCATATATTGCAATCTATCTCGACATGATCGATGTACTCCTAATTTATCGCAGTTTTTTATAAAGCGATCGTTATTTGTAATATTTAAATATCCTGATAGTAACCCCCCCCCCCCAAAGTAACACTGTTTTTATTCCTTTCCTAATGACTCTCAATACACATAAGATTAGTGAATGTGTCATATGTATATATGTTTGAATACTAATTATTGGGATTATCATTAATCAAAAACTTTGGTTTATAATAAGATTCGAAGCGAATAACTAAGCGTAAGTCATCGAGATGTGATCATTTTAAATCTTGTGCGCGCTCATTAGTTATTAATATCCCTTAAAGAGATCATGATCGTACCGTTGGTGCTTCGTTGACGGTCTAAGCAATTGATGACTACTGCATCAAAGTTGGTCCATATATATCTCATTATTAAAATTATGGTTACAAATTTGTAAATACCGGAATTAAGCATATATAGATTACTATATAGATCCACTACCAAATTTTAACACTAACATACGTAAAGAACCAACCACACCCAAATCGTATCAATACAGAAATAACATACATATGAAAGCAAAATAAGAAAGAAACCCTAATTTAGTTTCCCGAAATATATAAACATAATGTTGTAAAGAAATAAGAAAGAAAAAAACAGAACAAGTAAAGTAAAGTAAATTTAGGGTGGAGGGGACAGCGACAGAGTGATTGGCCGGCGGTAAGAGCTGGACCAATGTTGTCGGGTTTGAGAATGACACGTGGCGGCATGACAAAGGAATACAGGTTTTAGAGGAAATCGAGGTAAAGACTTACGAATGAAAGGAATGATAAATATAGTGATTGTATAAAGAAGCTGAGGAGAGCAAGTGGTCGTCGCAGCAGCAGCCTGAGCCTGAATATCTCTAAATATAGGTTTTATTTTTGTTTGTCGTTGTTGTTGCTTGGCATGTGCTGTCTCACTCACTCCAGTAATATATTTTTCAATTTGAAACTACGTACGTAGGAGGGGATAGCTCTCCCACACTCATCATAAAAAACGTAATAACATAACCAAATCTATCTGTTTCGAAATTATCTCTGACAAAAACAGTACTGAAACCAATCTTACTCTAGTTTGCTTGTATAGTATTTAGTCCATATTTATCTACTAGTAAAGATTATGTTTTCGTTTCTTTATTTATTTATTATTATTTATAATCTCAATTATCACAAAAAAAAAAATACAATGTTCATTATGAATATGAATCACGCAGTTATGCTTTCCAATTATTTGTTTATAATATATCTAGTAATTAAGATCAACACACGTTTCTGGTTAGTGTTTCTAGTTGTTTTACTTCAAAAAATTGCATGATTATGTTTAACGTATAGTTGAGTACACTAACTAGAGACGTGTATTGTATAAAAATTAAAAACTAAAAAAAGAAACATTAAAAGAAGATGTAATTAGGATCGGATTAGAAAAGAGATTTGAGGGGCAAGTGCCAAAAGGAACCTAATAATATTCTTGCCTCCATCTTCAAGCAAAGCATCTAAAAGTGTAGATTCCCACACCAGCACCTCTCTCCCTCTCTTCCTTCCTTTTGTTTGTTTGTTTCCACTTTTGTGAAAATGTTTCTCGATTTCATAAACAAATGGATTCGTTTTTTTCACTATCTTATTTGTTTTTCTTTGTATTCATTCATTCATTATGTGATCTAATGCAAACACATCTACTTCACTTTTGGAAAATGTTTTTTTTTTTAAAAAAAAATATCTTTAACCATCTATCAAAGGTGTTATGGTTACGATGGTCGAAATAAACAAATCTGTGTGCAATTTTAGTCTATTCTATTTTGAGATGGACAACAAATTGCGGCAAACCAACTCTATTCGTATATAAAAACAATCCGCATTTGGTTTGTAGTGATTTTCTTTTGTTTTTCTTTGAAATCGCACTACTACAAATATAATTAGTGAATGGTAAATAAATAATGGTTCGGTCCACAAATGGTTTTAACCGCTCGATCCAGTAACCATTCTCATAACTGATTTATATAATTCTGTTAACAAATATTTAGTATTTAATTACATATATCCAACATGAGTTCTTGATTATTGGAAATTCATATAGTAGTTTTAGAAGAAAAAACTTGTTTGTCACTATGGTTTTTTTCTTTCTTTTCAGCAAATCTACTGAAATTTTTTAAAAAATCGATCATGTTAAAGATTATTTTTCGTATATATGTTTAGCAATGTTGTCATCAAAATGATGCCATGACGTAGAAGCGCGTCACTGGTTCGCGTGATTGAGTTTCGATTCACACAGTGGGCCTATATAAATTAACTTCATAACGCTCTATGAAATTGGGCCTACACTCACTATATCAATGGGCTTATATATATATCCTTGTTTTGACCTTACTGGTTTAATACTCAAAAGTAGAGAGCAGAACAGATGGTTTCCATAACCGGTGAAAATGATGTATCAAATGTTTTAGCTCCGGTAAACAGTTAAAATCATCCATCAAACCGGATTATCCAACCATAATCTAACGACATTTCTCATTTACAAACACTCTCAGACATCAACCTTTTGATCAGCTCCAGTATTTCTTCTCTCAAATGGTTCACCACATCTGGTACAGCCTCCTTCACATCAGTAAACCACAGCTCATCCCGCTTCTTCATTCCCTCAGAGGTAAACCATTCGCATACAACCCGAGCTATTGCAAGAAGGTAAACACCACAATCGTACCCATTCTTTTGCTGCGGTGTCTCATTATATTCTCTGTATACCGCATCACCATCAGACACAAATGGAGAAACCGCCTCGAAGAGTTGTTTAGCGCTCCATTTATTCACTCCCATTAAGCTATCATGATGGAAAAACGTGTTGGCATCTTTGTAGTACACTAGCAAGCTCCAATGTAATCCGCCTTCAGCTTCCTCCACATTTAGATTGTCGTTAACAGGGAATATCAGGAGGTCTTTGTCGCCACACTTGAGGGGTTTCATGAAATCTTTGAGGGATTCAGCGTCAGGGCAGTTGGAGATCCAGAAGGCAATGGAAGGAGGGATTAGTGAGATGGTAGGGGTACTGTGAACTGAGGATAAGTAGCTTAGGTAGAACTCGATAACACGATCATTCAGAAAATTGTGTCCATTTAGGATGTCCAAATCGGATCTCCTAAGGACAACATCGTCATAGCTAAGGATCTTGTCATCACCAGAAATATCTCCCATAGCGTACACTGATAAGCTTCAAATGGCTACACTGAAGAATCTGTAAACTCTGAAATATACATAAATACAATTTGTTAAAGCCAATTATGAAAATGTGAAAAAATGAATACCATGTTCCAGAAAGTAAAACACAGAAAAGTAAATATTATTATGAGCGTAAGTTTCAATAAGCTGATTTGCTTTGTCAATGAGCAAACCAACCTCGTCATAGCTTAAGCTATAAATTGCTTCTTGTTCATTCTAATTACAAGCCAGAACGTATTGCTTCTTGTTCATTCTAACATGAGGTCTTCATATCAAGCATAAAAGGTTAACTAGAAAAAAAAAGCTAATGATGAACACCGGACAATGTCCAGAGAATATTCATTCAAACATCATCAGTTTGATTCAATCAAATCAAACTTCAAAAACTAAAGTTGTTGACAGTATACAACTAACACCTAACTGAATCAAACCATATGCTCAAGAAAATAAAATCACACTTAGTTTATACATCAAAGATCGCTATAGAACCAAAATTCTCGTTGAGGCATTTTATCGAACAGTTTGAATCCAACAAAAATCGTTTCTTAATAAACATCCACAAAACAAGGATCAAACTGTTCCAAACATGTATACGTCCAACTAAACCAGTGGTTCCTCAAATATAGATTCCAAATACTGACTCGAGATAAAGAAACTCAGGCTCTAACAGCGGAGAGAAACTTCTTAAAGATTCATTCATTCATTCATAATATTTTCTGGTTTTGATCAGGAAAAAGCACGTAAAATTAAGAAAATTACCTTGATTCGATTGATATGTATACGCGATTTACAGCTTCGTTTTCCACCAATCCACCGCTCGACAGAACTGGAATCTGAATTTCTTTAGAAAACCTTAGATAGGTTCATCGCGAGAGTACTCCATAAGAAGAAGAGGAGAAAAGAAATGAAAAGAAACGGGGAATACATTACAGTATTTAAGACAATTGTGACTTATTGGGCCCATAAACCCAACTTACGTGGGCCGAAAGTTCGGTCGTATGAGTATTTTCACGGAATAAGATTATAAGCGATTCCCAAAATGACGATTATACCCTTGTAATCCATTGAATATTACGATTTCCCACCACCGCCGTCGCAAAAAGCAATCATCAACGGCCGGAGAAGGACCTCCGTCGTTACCCGCTGTGATTAAGTAAAACTTCCACGGTCGACGACGTAGAACATGGTTGAAAGAGCTCGAAGTTTCAGGTAACCTTGATTATTTTCGCTTATTATTTTCCCCTCGATTTTCTCGGAATATTTCTTGACGAGGATCGCGGAGGTTCGAGAATCTAATCTGTAGAATTGATTTGGTGCTCTGGCCAGATTCTTCCGAAGGATTCAGATGGTACAACTATATATGGATCATGATAAATCTCAGTGTCACACCAATCCCATCAGACGGCTGCTGCTTATTCAATGGACTTTGCCGCCGTGAAAACCCCGGAAGAACCTCAATTTCACAAGCTTTACTTCAACAGTTTGGTAGAGAGAGAAAGGCATGTTAAAACTACTAGAGTGGAGGTTATAATCTGCGACCCAGAGGATAATATGGTGTTTAAGACTACTAATCCACCGCTACAGAATCTTCTTCCCTACATGACTTCCATGGAAGCTGATATTAGAGCTTTGATGCTTGGTTTAACCGAAGCCACGTTTCTGGGGATCACTCGCATCTCTATATACTGCCGCCCTCGTCATCCCATTTTCGAATACGTAAGATTCTTTTGCTTACATAAATCTCTCATGTCGTGTATGTTTGATGTAACGTGGATCTTGGCATTAATTTTGTAGCTATTGGAAATATCTGAACCCGAGGAGAAAAAGATTGCTTTGCTAATGGATGATGTGAAACTTATCAGAAAGCTGTTCAGGTCTAGCAATCTCGTCATGATGCTTGAAGAAGATGTTAAATTCGTCTCCAGACTCGTTGCTGCTGAGACTTGCATTATCTGTTTCGACCACTTCCCCTCTCATCTCATGTTTTCAGCTTGTGAATACGGTCATAGATTTTGCTTAACTTGTGCGAAATCACATATAGAGGTGAAGCTTCTTGATCGAGAGATACCAGATTGTCCTCAGCATCGCTGCAGGTCTCAGCTGTCTCTGGTTAGATTTCGCGGGATCTTGACTAAAATGCAGAGTTTTATGTGGACTCAGATAATTAGAGAGAATTCAATTCCTATTGGACACAGAGTTTATTGTCCACACCAAAGCTGTTCGTATGTTATGTCCAAAACCGAGTTTTCTGCATCTTCTGAATGTCGACGTAGGGCATGCTTCAAATGTGGTGGTTCTTTCTGTATCGACTGCAGAGTTCCATGGCACAATACGCTATCCTGCACCGAGTACAGGATACTGCATCCTCAGAATGATGATGAAAAGCTAATATCTCTAGCTAAATATAAAAAGTGGCGTCAATGTGGCTACACATGGTTGAACGTTCTTTTGGATGCAACTACATGGTTTGCAGGTATATATATATAAACTCTCGCTCGATACAGTTCTCTTCGATATTTTCTTTTTACCGTCCTGTTTCAAGAACTGGTTTTAAAAAACAGCAATATTGCCATCAAAAGAAGGGAAATATATAAGAAGTTTTCCTGTTTTTGTTTTCTCTCTATTGTGTGTCGAATTTGAATGTTTTGCTTCGTGCTATGTAAACCTCTCAGGTGTGGAAATGTTTTTTGCTACGGGTGTGGAGGCAGCTGGAGTAGCAGCTACGATCATAGTCATTGCAGTATGCACTACTTATTCGACGATGTTGTACTAATTACCGGAAAATTTGTTGTACTTGTGGTGTGCCTTGGTTTAGTAATTTATTGTTTTACAAGGAAATAAAATTCATGAAGTTCGTGTGATCCAATAACAAACCCAATAGCCCAAAGGAGTAATTTCTACAGATATAGCTCCGGTTCTCTTCAACTCGACAATTCCCGGTTTACTCCCTAAGGCCTAACCCAAATGTATACCAAATTTTTAATTTCACATACAGTACATAACCGATTCGTGAGAAAATTCGAAAACTCTAGTTCCTCTGCTTTTTCTTTGGCGGTCCTTCCTCATTTGTCTTACGTACGTAAGACATGGATTTTCTCGTAATCTTAGAATGTTCTTTCTGCTGCATTTTCTTATATACTTGAGAAGTATGCTTAAGTAGTTTTTGCTGGTTATTTTCTTCCATTATCTTGTGGATTTTGAAGCGATATGATATATTTGACTAGTTATGGAAAGAATTCTTGATAATCGTTTCCTGATTTCTTGAAAATTGCGGCGTTGGTGTTTTTGTATCTTTCTACCGACTCCATCTGAAGATCTTGGTGTTCTTGGAGTATAGTATTGTTTATGGCATCGTAGATCATATTGAGATCATCAGGTTTGAATCTTTTCAGGTGACGGATTTGTTCGAGAGAAATAAATGGGAAGGTTATTCAAGATAGACCTTGAGGGATCTGTGTATAAATGCAAGCACTGCCAAGTTGAATTCTTTGTTTACGACGAGCTTCCACTCAAAACGGTTTGATTTCTCCTCTGCTTCTTTCTCATCAAACTCAGGTTTATTTGTTTGTTTCTTGCTTATGGAGAATTGGTGAAACTCAACAAATCTGATTATACAAAGTTTACTTTTTCAACCAACACTGAGAATTTGTGTGTGTTTGCAGATACCGTTCATTGAATATCCTGCCAACCTTAGGAAAGTTTATTTCTTCATGAAATGGTAAAAATAATGCTTCGAAACCCACGTTACGTTATTATTAATTTACTAAAACTAACAACACTTTTGGTGGTATAGCTTCAATGTGGTGATCGAACCTGCTAAAGTGACCATCATTGTAGATGGCAAAGCTGACAATACAATGCGTCCAGTGTTCTGTATCGGATGTGGCTCTCATCTTGGCTCGTGCTACGTATGAAATGACTCTTTCCATCAAATTCTTTGACACCAACCATGAACTGGTTTTTGGTTTGAGAAATCAGTGTTTCTCATTGTGGTTTCTTTTTGTTTCACACAGAAAGGCAAAGATGAGTCAGATATGTACAGTGAAGGAAACTTCTTCATAAATAGGTGATGCATCCATATTGTTTTTGCACTAAGAAAATCTTACTTTTAAATCTTTCTCATTCTGTCAATTATCAAACATGGTTTCATTCAAATGCAGGTTTAAGATCCATGGACCACCAGACGGAAGTGATAATGAGAATCCATGAAACATGAAGAATAATGTCTTGTTGAAGAATGCAGAAGCATGAATTATACATTCTCTCTGTTTCTTCTCTTTTTTACTTTGCTACTTTCTTTTCTTAAGTGAATGCAAAAGCTACATTTATTACCTCTCTATGCAGAGGCATGGATCCTAATTACTGCATCTTCAGTACGTTTTTCAATTTTTTTACAAAAGAAACAAATTTAATTTGATTTTCGTGGTTAAATATATTAATTAATTCAACCTTTTTGTATAACGTTGTAGATTGTACAAAATTCTAATTGTTTTCCATTTTTTCTACAAAATAAGTTTCCTTTTTCTAGTAGAGAAAAATAATGTAAATCAGACTAGGAAAAGGAAAACAAACAAAGAGCCTAACTTTGTTAGCTTCTTCTTCTATAAATACTAATTTACATGATCACCACAGATCCAACACTAGTCTCATCATCATCCACAAGTCTCTGATCATACTTCTTCAAGATCTCACAAATCATAACGAAACCCTTGTACGTCTGTACATCATCAATGGCTGTCAACGATGATACCTTTTCGATGTCGACCATGTTCGATGCTTTACCATACCCTAATGGAGTCTCCGGTTCCATCCCTCCTCCTGGATTCCCCCCACACGCCTCGTCCGCCACTAACTTGCACGCGGCCATGTTCAGCCTAATGACTAGCTGCGAAGGTCTGTCCTACTTCAAGGAGACGATCTCAACGCTAGACAAAACAGAGCTTCAGAGGATGGCGTCGTTGCTGACGTCAGACTCCGATTACTTCATGGCCATCGTCACAAACAAGAACGGCTCGAAACGCGTGCAGAAGCTCCTCGGGATATCAGATGACTTGGACGCCCTCTTCTGCGCCGCTATCTTGCGCCGTTTCTTGCACATCACGTCTGACAAATACGCATCCTACGTGACGATACGAGCCATGATCGTTTTCGAAGAGGAGAAGAAAAAGGCAATGTATGAACACATTCTCCACCACGCTCTCGACCTAGCGTGTGACCAACACGGCTGCATCGCACTCAACGATATCATAACCGATGCGGATGATCCTTACTACAGAAATCAGATACTAGACTTGGTCGCATACAACGCTCTCCGCCTAAGCAACCACGCTTCAGGGAACTTTGTGGTCCAACATGTGCTTACACTGTTTGACTCTCGTAGCATACGCAACATCGCGGTAAGTCTCCGTGGGCATTGCATTGATCTCTCGTTCAAGAAGTACGGAAGCTACATCATGGAGAAGCTTCTGAAGGCGGAGGAGTCATCAATGGTAGTGGTGGTTGTGGAGCTTTTGCAGTGCGAGGGAGACAGGTTGATGAGGCTGGGGAGGAATGAGTTTGGGAGTTTCGTGGTGTTGAAGGCACTGATAATGACCACGAAGATGTCTAGGATGGACCTGTTTTGGCGTTTGGTGGAGAAGCTCATGCCTTTCATCCATCTCTTGCGTAGGTCTCACGGAAACAACATTGCAAACATCTTGGAATCATTAAAGCTTCGTTGCTGACTATAATATATTTACTCTGTGTTTATGTCTCAAAACGATAGTTAAATTGTTCGGGTGTTTAAGGTATTTGCATGACTCTTATAAGAAAGGTTTTTTGAAAAGCAAGGTTGGAGTTTTATTTATTTATATAACAAGTGTTAACAATAACGTAAAATGGCCATTACATCAATTTCTTCTAGTGTTGTTATTTCCGAAAACAAAACAAACATAAATGGAGAGCTCTAGAGCTACAGGAAGCTAAAAGCATAAAACAAACCAAAATAGGAGATGAGGATCAGAGGAATCTTCAGGAATATGACTCTGGTAAGAAAGGTTTTTTTTAGTAATAAAGGTGGTGATCACAACCTGACTCCTGGAATGACATTAAAAAGTTACAACAAAACAGAGTTAGTACTAATCTAACTTCAAATCCCCAACACTACTGCCAAAAAGATGCTTATTCTATGAAAAAAAAAGGAAGGTGAATGACAATCGAATGAAAAAAGTTATATAGAGAATGCAACCCATAGGAAAATAATAAAATTTCGAATCAGAATATATTATTGCATTATTTATTTAAGTTTTAAATTAGGAAATGTAAAAAGGTAAGTTAATGAGAGTTCTATCATCTATGGTATAGGATTGTGTTGTGGCCGTCAAGTTCTTGGGACCTCAACTGAGCTTTTTCAGACCCGCACAGAGAGTAACTCCGAGTGGATCAACATCAGAATTAAAAATCCTTGCTTCTTCTCAGATCTCGTTTCAGATATTTTTTAACAATAGATTACTACTAGTGTGGAATTGGGTTTGAGTCTACTATTTTTACTCTCTGAGATTTATATGCATATGCTCCTTAATAGTTAATAGTGTACAACAATTTGAAATTACTACTTTTCTACTCTACACGATCGTGGCGTGGCGTTTTATTATATCCTTCACAAAGAGAATCCACAGTTACAGTTTTGTGTAAGCCACTGCTTGATCCTTGCCAGATGCTTAAACCAGACACAAAATGTGCAAAATGAATCTTTTAGGGAATTTATGATTAGCCCTCTTATTAGTTTCGTAATCGTTTTGTGGATGTACTTCAGGTATCATCAACCTGATGAGAATGGAACAAAAAGCTTAGAAACCAGAGAAGCACTTGTGTTGCATATATTCAATCCCATTTACACAAATCACTTGAGATATTCAAACTGTTGAGAAAGCTGGTTAGTCTAAGAATAAGGCTTCTCCACTCTTGTATATGACACGAGGAGAATAATACTACAAAACTAAGGCTTGTTGTTTTATTCGTGTACTTTTTGAGTTATGTTAGAATTGTTGTTCGGTCTTTTTTCTACTCCTTTATATACAGAAGACAACATTAACAGAAGTCAAGAACAAAAAGAAAGATCTGATGTTTATATAGAATACTTCAAAAAGCTATACTGTTTTCTGTAACTAAATTCATTTACAATTTTATATAAGAACAAAAAAATCAGAGGCACGACTTCGACCTCTGTTACCGTTGAAACCTCAAAATTTGCCAGAAAACCGACCAAACCAATCAGCAGAAATCAAAATCTATCCAAGGCAATCCAAACATTAACATCACTGCTCTCTGCAAAAAAGAAAACATATCTAGTACTCAGCATATACTGCCAAAACGAATGGATAAACCAATATGACACTTTAAAGATTAAAATGACTCAGTCAGTACCTTTCAAGTTCAATATGCTCTTAGGGAATCTATGTTAGGGCCCTGCATCTTTGATGAGAACTCAATTCTATATGTGAGCAGTCGGAGCAGTTTTTGAGTATGACTTTCCCAGCACTTGGGAACAACCAGAGAAAATCCAACAAAGCTGAAACCTCCCCTCATGCCCGAATCACATCCCATATGTCCTATTATACACATCTCCAGGACTTGGAATCCGGAATTTGGGTTCTTCGTATCCGTTGTTGTATAGGCTCCCATTAAACCCCAGCCGTTCATTCCTAAGAAGCTCTGCCATGCCTAGAGAGTTTACACTTTGGCCTTCATTCCACTTATCCCAGTGACCATTAGACAAGGTTGAATTTGAAGATGGTTGTTGTCTTGAGTGCTGTGAGAAAGGTGACAAGCTACTTCCCTGTGTTTGATCCATTAGCCTTGAGCTATATCCATAAGGATCGGTAAGTGAAGGAGATATGTTTCTGAGATCATGATGAAACCCATTGACTTGTTGTTGTGCAGCAGACAATGACTGCTGTCTCAACATCTGCAGTCCTGTTTCATTTTCAAAAGAATTCAGTTGTGATGAGAATCCTGATCTCATATCCAAGTCTGCATTTACCATCCCTCTTCCAACAGCTAAAATTGCAGGATCCACAAATTCAATATCACTTCCACCACTCGAATTACCAACTGAAGGTTGTACTTGATATGCATTCCTCAGCAAGGAAGTAGAGTCAAGAAAACGAGTTCCTATGATACAAGTACACAATAGTTAAAGTCGCTAGCATCAACCACACTCTACTCTACTCCATAATAATAGAAGGAAAAAAAATACCTGGCACAGTATCAGAAGATAAGCCCACCCTATCATGTGAAGAGAACCCAGGAGGCGGTAACCTGTTCGGAGCAGAAAATCCTGGAGGAGCAGAAACTTGGGGACGTGAAACTGCAAGTAAGCAGGAAACAAATGTTGGAAATAAAGCAAAAAAAATATCCAAACAAGAAAAGTCAGAAAGCTACGCATACTAACCAGGATTCTTGTGCGAAGAGAATAAAGGACTAGCAGCAAAGTTATCCAATCCACCAGAGTAATTTGAAGTGAATCCATTTAGACTACCGAGATTACCTCGGTAAATATCTCGGCTCCCTACAGACTCCTGAATAGGTTGATTTTTTGACAACAGCCCATAAATATTATGGTTCTCGCTGTCATATGCTTGATTATTAGATTCATCGTACCGTGCAAAAGAAAATCTAGACTGGCCGTTATGTTGCTTCAGGAGGTTTGAGGGTTTAAGAGTACTAGATCGCTGATCAACTTCACCAAGCAACTCTGCCAAATTGTGGGGACAAGTCAAGGATTCGTCCCATGGATCAAAATCGAGTGACAAAATGTTTGAAATTATAGCATCCTCTGCACTGTTGAATTTGTTCCTGCCTTCATTAGCAAACAGAGAGTGCTCCACAGTGTTAATTTTATTCCTGCCTTCATTAGGAAACAGAGAGTGTCCCACATTGGTCATGGATTTATCACCAAATCCATTTGGAAGATGTCCATTTGGAAGATGCAATCTATCACTACCTCTATCCAATGAGGACCTCAAATTTGAGTCGTTCACACCTGACAAACCTAAATTTTCACAAGGCAGGGAAGAACGAGAAGCCATATGATTTGTATCTAAGATGGAACTTGGCAAATTAGATATAAACCGCGAGCGGCTTGTATCCTCTTCAAGGTGATGCTGTTGGCTACCCAATAGTGTTCTATCCTCCACTTCTAATTTTGAGCTACCTTGCACCTGCAATTGCAGATCTGGCCTAGTGAGGGGGACCCTGTCCTCTGACAGGATAGCATTCTTATCAGTGTTTATAGAACTATCCATCCTACATTGCTCTAACTGTGGCAACTTTGATACCTCATGACCAGGTTGTCTAATAGAACCTTGATCACACTGACTACCAATCGCCATTGTACTATTAGGATGTTCATTCCTACGATTCATATCAATTCCCATGCGTGCAACATCGTCCGACAAGTTGCTTACAATAGGGCCATCTTCTACAGCTTCATTCAAAGCTTCATTCGCATCATCGAATGAGTTCACAGTAGCTGATGGCTTGTCAATGTCCCCTCCACCGTAGGAAGAGTCTACCGAACTGGATAACTGATTGCTAGTAGGATCTCTATCAGGTAAGGTAGTTATCTTGGACCCGGAGTCAACCACAACATTATGCTGCGAAGACTTAAATATGCTAGGTTTGCTTTTTTCCACAACTATTTGGCTTTCTTCTTTGCGAGATGGTCTTTTAAGAATGTGACTAGAGGATACAGGCCCATGAGCTGCATTTGCAACAACAGCTGAAAACGCCAAGTTTCCATTTACTGATGTTGATCTTTGTATATCAGAAGAACCATTTGAGGTAGCCGAAGTAGCTAAATGCTGCTGGTTTGCAATATGTGTCCCCCTGAAATAGAAATCCCTATTTGATCAGAATAACCAGTCAGAAAGTCTTTACATAAAAAGTATCCAGTGGAAACTTACCATGACGCTGCAGCAGGAAGAGCTGTTGATCTGCTAGAGCTCCCGCTCCCACTCCCACTAGGAGGAGAATACTTGGGAACACTTGCTGCATTCTGCTCATATAAAAATATAGCGAGACATCAAATAATAAGCTCAGTAAACTAAAAGAATTTTCATAAGCTACTCATGCTACAACTTTGGAGGTTGGTTTTAACTATTTGAGGCTTTCGAGAATTTTTTTAGAGGCTAAAATCCTAGGAAATTGTATGATTAATCTGATCAGAAGTTGAGAAAATATATTCTTGGAACACATGACTCAAACCAAATAGCACTCTCAAGTAATAGTTGAGATTGAACTGAACTTACAGTTGAAGGAACCTTTACAACTGCTTTTGCAGAAGAAATGTCACTGCAATAAGCATCCATTGGTGGAGGTAGTATGTTCCCTGAACGGTACTGCTGAATATTTGTTGCTCCAGTGATTTGTTGAACTCTACTCCTTCAAAATTACTATAAGACTTAACTAATCATCCAAAAATACTAGACCAACCATCATATCTTTTACATATACTTAAGGAATATGGATCCAGGAAACAGAACAATCATGAATGCAAGTGCGAATATCAAAATTTTAGATTGTAAAAATTACCTTGTATAAGCTGATATGATTTCATCTTTTGTGAAACTATCCTCTTGAGAACCAACCTCGTGCAAATAGAGACAATCAGGATTGACACATGCCTAAAATAAAAACATGCAATTCATCACTCCAAAGAAGAATTTCAACATTTATCTAAAAGGAGGTAACCAAAAGAACAACTCAGGGAGTCAGCAACCAGAACGTAAATCCATTGGAGACATACCACATTTCTCAGCCATGCATGACAATACTTTGTTGTCCCAAAACATGCCCTGCAAAATATTTAGAGTGACTGAGCATCAAATTTGATCATTAGGTAAATGCTTTCAGATAGTTTCAGAAAAAGCTAATTAAAACTTACTTCAGTAATTTACCATCCAAGGTGAACCCATGAACAGCCTGAATGCAGCGAACAGCCTCTTCCTCTTTTCCATAAGTAATATATCTGGGACACGAGAAATTGTTATCAGACAACAAAAATTTATAGAAAAAGCCAAAGAAGTTAACGCTAAGAGGAAAATTTGTTCGACAAGAGAAGTATAAACAGAAACGCACACACTGCATGTATTGTTTGGGAATTGTTGGATGACACCAGATGCTGTTCGGGACATGGAAACCTTTAGAACAATTCCATACTGACCAAAATATTCTTTATGTTGGAGTAGCTGAAAGAAAAATGGACCGATAGTTAAAGGGCAATCCACAGTAACGAATATTAGAGGTTTGGATGAAAATTCACATACATCTTCATCTGCTAGATCAAGGGGTAACCCAACAATGTAAACAAGATTCCTTTGAATCACTCGCACACTGGTGAGTTGCTTTCTTCCCTCAGAAGGTTTTGATTTAGACTTTTGGATCTTCTTGTGCGCCATGTTGCCTTCCGAGGCTAGACTGTGAAAGGGGTGATAGACAAAAGCCATCAGCAAAAGAAACCAAAAAATATTTTCCCAGATTAAAAATTTAATTCGCCAAAAAGATAATGTATCATAGTACAACCTGTCACAATTGACAGTCATCCCTACAATCTTTTCTTTGTCATATGGAGTGCGACAAGCTGGACAACGCCCTTCTATTTGATCTTTCTCCGCCATGTCCACTATGTGATGCCAGCACCAAACACATATCTGAATCACAAATCATAAAAATGTTAACAGAACAAAGATCAATGGTCAATGGGGCTTAGCACAAGATGTGCAAAATTCCACCACTGAGATAATTCTTGTCACATATATTCTATTTTTGTGCTACACTGATAAACAGTAGCAGCAACTTTGAGATAAGCCACGAAAAGCATATTGTAACTTAGGAACCTTCCAATAAGCAAAACTGTTCTCCCTACTATAATACACGGTTTCGAGACAAAGTAGTAACATGTCAAATACACTTTACAGAAAAATAAAGGTAGAATGCAAGACCTGATAGCCGCATTTGCAAGGCTTCAATTGTTGATCAGTCAGGTCCATCTCTTCAGCACAGAGTGGACAGGTCTTCTCTCCATGGTCACTCATGTTGGCCTACAAGAGAAATGGGATACATTATTCAACATAGTAAAGGCCACCCACAAGGTTTCTGTAGATTCATAAGCAATCAGATAAAATACAAGTAAAAGCCAAACTGCACCGTAACCACAGACTAAATAGGCCAAAAGTTTGATATTTCCTGCATTGTTTGAAACTACATGTAGGTTGTTCGTTGCTTTCACAGAAATGAACAACAGAAGAAAAACTTTTAAAATTTTTTTTTTGCGGGAAACTTGATTAATCATCAGAAGAAAGTCAATGAACATTCAGCATATTCGCAATCAAATCTTATAAACCTATGTTCACTCATCTCATCAACGTTATCAAACGTCAACTTAAAAATATATAATTTACTGTTAAATTTTAAAAATTTCAGATCGAATACTAGAATATAACAATCAGAAATGAAAAAAAAAAAAAAAAATCTACAATGAAGAACTAAACCAGAATCGATCTGTGCATGCGCCGTGACGATTCAATTACAGACGCGTCAACGGAAAAATGTGAAAACCAATCGTTATAAAACAATCACAGACAACAAAATGAAAAAATCACGAATAAAATCCAAAATCTCAATCAGAATATACGATCTAAGCTAATAAACCGATGATCCCATTAATTGTTTTTAAAAAAACCTGGGAGCACAGAATTAGGGTTTTGAGATTCAGCAAATTCTCAAACTAAACGGAAGAAGGGAAGGGAGATTACGAATAAGATGTAAAGAAGAGAAGACATACGATTCGAGAAGGATCGATAGAGATTGCTGGGGAGGGAGATGAAGAAGAAGATTTGAGATGAGGAAAAAAGGAGGAAGCTCGAACGAGAGAGAGAGAGAGAGAGATATGGATGGCTGTGATTTTTAGAGGCGATGGCTTTTTTAACCCTCTTGATATATATATATATATATAATTGTTTTTGTCTGCCAGATTCACGTTGCTGTCTTGTTATTATAATAATTTTAAAAAGGCTTTCTACAATTTATTGCCCTTCGATTTCCATTTTTATTACTGTTTTAGTCCGGTTCGGTTTTTGTGACCTTATTGATTTTGGCCGGTTATTTACATTACCCAACCACATAAAATCTTCTAGTTTTGGTTTTTGTTTAATGTTATTACCAAAACTAACCAACAAATTAAAGGAAAGGTATTTATTTTATAGCTATATGACTACATTTTTAATTAATTTATTTAGGTAAACAAAATAAATGACAACATCATTAGTCACATTTTTGGTTGATTAATTAAGTTAATTTTTATTTTGCAAATAAAAAAAATAATGGAGATGATGGCTAATGTGACATATTATAAATATATATTTTTTTATATATAAGAAAAAAATGAAACTTAGTGGGATGATTATTAATTTACAACTTTTGACAAATAATTTACCCTTTTACTTTGGTCGTAGCATCCGAAACGTTTCCTTTGTTGTTGTTATGTAGAGAGACAGTTGAAGAGACCTCATGGCACAACCATTACCACTATACCATGGCCTTGATTGCCTTAACTATTACTCACTTATCCCTAACGGTGGGATAGGAGAAATGACGAAATAGATCGATAGACATAAGTAAGAAGAAGCAACTTTTACTTATAGTGTTGACTATATTTTGTTCTTTAACTTTGTAGCTATTTCAAACATTGTCACTAACTCACTATACTCACTCCAAATTTTATTAGATAAGGATAAAAAGCACAAACTTGTAAGTTATAACTAAACAAAAAAAAAACTAAAGTGAAAATTCTTTCTTTTTTTTTTTTGGACAAAAAAGTGAAAATTCTTATTTTCCTTTGTTTTTGTTCATAAAAATAAAACCTTTAAACCCGCTAAAAATATTCAGCGTGAGAATCTTAACTGTACTAATATTTCTTTTTAGCTCGAGATCCTTAACACACACACACAAAAGAAAAAAACTCGATCGGGTCTGCTCTCTCGAAGCTCCTCTCCTCTGCTGAAATCAGATCCATAATAAAAGAGTGACCATGGATAAGAAGAGCTGCCTCGTCTCTGATTTTCTCTCCTTTCTCAATGCTTCCCCCACCGCTTTTCATGCCGTCGGTAACCTCATCATCCCTTTTCCTTTTTCAAATATTCTCTTTTTATTCCCCCCTCTCCTCTCACCACCAAAGCTTTACACAATCAATTGATTTTCTGATTAAATTACTAAAGTCGCTGTTTCAGTTCTGATATTTTGATTGATTTTTGTAGACGAGTCAAAGAAGCGGCTTGTAGAAGCTGGGTATGAGCAGGTTTTTGAGAGAGATGACTGGAAACTCCAAGCTGGCCAAAAATACTTCTTCACCAGAAACTACTCCACTATCGTTGCTTTTGCCATTGGTCAAAAGTACCATCTCTCTTCTTCTCTACTATCTATTAGCCTGAGATTGCAACCATTCTCAAAAAAAAAATTGTTATTTTTCTTCTGAGCTCAGTTTAGCTGCAACTTAAAGCGAGAATCTTTTGCATTTTCTTAACAGATACGTAGCTGGAAACGGGTTCCATATCATAGGAGCTCACACTGATAGCCCTTGTCTCAAATTGAAGCCTGTATCAAAGGTAGGTGCCCGTTTGGATTCTTTGGATTTTCAATTTTCCCCTTTTAAAGTATTCTTTGTTTTTTGACAAGAAAGTGTTTGACAGATTAGCAAAGCTGGGTACTTGGAGGTTGGTGTTCAAACTTATGGAGGTGGCCTGTGGTATACCTGGTTTGATCGTGACTTGACAGTTGCAGGACGTGTTATCGTTAAAGAGGAGAAAGCTGGTTCTGTCTCATATTCTCATCGCCTTGTCAGGATTCAGGATCCTATTATGAGGATTCCTACCTTGGCCATCCACTTGGACAGGTTTCCCTTTGAATCACCGCTTTCCAGTGGAATACTTCTTAGACTCTTTTCAACTGTGTTTGCGATAAGCAGAAGACTATATGTTTCTCACTCCTTTTTGTAGAGAAGTTAAAATAAGACTTTTTGTTGCCTTATGCCTTGCTGACAGGAACGTGAACAGTGAAGGTTTTAAGCCAAACACTCAGACACACCTCGTTCCAGTACTGGCAACAGCTATCAAGGTGCTCTTTCAGTGCTTGCTATGTTGTTCGGAACTTTACTTAAATTAGACAATTGTTACAGGACATGGAAGCCATCTTCACTTATTTCTTTCTTAGTTCCGCTGTTTCATTTTTTTCCATTCAGTATTGCTAAAACCTTTGTTTGCACATTAGTCATTTGCTGATACCAGAACCCATCTTTGTGAAACCTTTAACTTTTGGTTGTTTTATCTATGATGTCAAACCATGGTTGTCAGATTTGCAGCATACGTGAATTCTTGCCTCTTTGCATTTTATTTAAATTGTGTGAATTATATCTTTGAAGGCGGAGCTCAACAAAATGCCAGCTGAAGGTGGTGAACTTGATGGAGGAAAGAAGTGTACCCAAACTAGTTCAAAATCAAAGCATCACCCACTTCTAATGGAGGTCTAGTTGAACAATGAGATTTATAGTTTTCATTGTGAATGTTAGATCTTCTTCTGGTTTAATAACCAAGTAGTCCTTTTTTTTCTCTTTCAAATTCTTAGATTATTGCAAATGCGCTGGGTTGTAAACCTGAGGAAATATGCGATTTTGAGCTGCAAGCATGTGACACTCAGCCAAGCATTCTAGCTGGTGCAGCAAAAGAATTTATTTTCTCTGGAAGGCTAGATAATCTCTGTATGTCATTTTGCTCTTTGAAGGTACGTCTTTCACTTTTACTTTTAGAGGAATATATGAGTCCGTTGTGCATATTTCCTGATCTTAACTGTGCCTTAGTTGGCCTCCACTCTCTCCATGTTCTTCACATTTAAAGACATGAATTAAGGCCCAATTTAACTTATTGGCCACCTAGTAGAAGTTTCTGTACAAGTATGTTAACTCCGTTGAGTGTATGTTTTGATATGGGTCACATTTCACATCAAAGTGAGCATCTCTTTTGTTTTTCCCCCTTGTTTTTGTGCAACTAAAGCATCTCTAACAATTTGTCCCTCTCTTTGAATGGGATTCAACATCTAACTTTAGCCATGTTGCTACTGAAAACATTGATGAACAAATGTCAGTTGATTTGGGTGCTCAATTAATCTGTCTGCAATTGCATATTTCTTATTTTAATCTGATGCTGAACTATATGTTTGAACTTTGTACACAGGCACTTATAGATGCAACGTCTTCTGAAAGTGACTTAGGGGAAGAAAGCGGAATAAGAATGGTGGCACTATTTGATCACGAAGAAGTTGGTTCCAATTCCGCGCAAGGAGCTGGATCCCCTGTCATGATTGATGCTATGTCACACATCACAAGTTGCTTCAGTTCTGACACTAAGGTAGCAACCCATTTAAGTGATAAACATTAAATTGGTCTTGTGATATACTTTTTGTTTCTTGTTGCTCATTATAGTTCACTATTATTTAACTGTTACAGGTGCTTAAGAAAGCAATTCAAAAAAGTTTGCTAGTATCAGCTGACATGGCACATGCTTTACATCCAAACTTTATGGTAATCATTTCATCATTTGGCAATACTTCTATACAAATTTCTATATTTTATGCACATAAGCTGATGTTTATCCATCATTGCATTGTGATTTAATTTTATAGGACAAACACGACGAGAATCATCAGCCGAAGATGCATGGAGGACTTGTCATCAAGCACAATGCAAATCAACGTTATGCAACCAATGCCCTAACTTCTTTCGTATTCAGAGAGATAGCAGAGAAGCATAATCTTCCTGTTCAGGTATGATTTGCCTGAGCGTAATCCAGAAAATTTTCTAACTTGCTACAGGTTTATAGATATGGGCATGTAGGCCAAAACAAAACTAATGTATATGGGCATAAAAACTGCAGGATTTTGTGGTACGTAATGATATGGCTTGTGGATCTACCATTGGTCCAATCCTAGCAAGCAGTGTGGGGATAAGGACTGTTGATGTTGGAGCTCCTCAGCTGTCGATGCATAGCATCCGTGAGATGTGTGCTGCAGATGACGTGGAGCATTCATATGAACACTTTAAAGCTTTCTTCCAAGAATTCACTCACCTTGACGCCAAACTCACTGTTGATGTTTGAGAGCTTCTTAAATCTTATTCATGTTCAAGTTGGAACTGAAGAAATCTTAATCCTTTAGGAATTCATGTTTACAATAATAAAAGGATTGTTATAGCCATGTTATGTTCTTGAGGTTACCATCAATTTACACTTAAGAATATTCATCCTCTTACTTGAAGATTTAATTGGGTTGATTATGTTAATTATCTTCAAATGAGAAGATCGAAGAACATGATAATTTTATTGGAATATTGAAGAAGCCAGACACAAAGATAACAATTAGGGATGATGCATGCAATGGCAAAACCGTCATGGTCCATGATGATGAATTAGCCTGATCGGACTCTTAAGTCTCTAGCAAACCATAAATTTGGTTCCATCTTTGTAAATGTCATGGAATTGAATAGAAAATGTACGACATCTTCACTTGTATTCGTCTCAAATCGTGTCAAATACTTCCATTATAGGTTTAACCTCATGAATATCACAAATTTGTGATCAGAAGATATAGCTCTTGTGGAAGCGATTCATGCCTCAACAACAAGTGCTTTCTACATATTTTATTTCTCAAGTATACAAAATCTGAGTGTGTTTAACAAAGTTTTCTAGTGATGAAAGGGTCTAAGAAAATGGTTAAGGAAGATGAAACCTAGTTTTTCAGTCAAAAGCAGGAGGAAGACCTTTGTTATTATACTTTGTACAGTCAAATGGCCCTACAACTTGATTACTCTTCTTCTTGACCTGGCCATCACAAAAGAAAAAATGGTTTCCTCGAGTTAGTTTTCACGAACTAACTTTAGCACATCTGCTTATCCTTTGAATTAAGCTATTTAATAAGTTGGTCAGTTATGAAAGATAATTAGGAGTTGAATTCTATGTAGTGCTGTTATCTATAGCACTGGTATAAAATCAATCAAACTTATCAAGTCCAGATGTTCTGAAAGTCCCAATGTTTCAACTTGTTTCCTTTTATCAACACCGAATGGTAATTTGAGAGGGAGAGAGGATTATACCGGTGACCATGGACCTGGTTCAGGAGCAGATTTCTCTGTTGGTGAATGTTGCACACGTCCACTTTTCAGTGTTAAGATTTCCTGCATATTTAACAGAAGAGTTCTGCTGAGGCATTGCCAAAATAATTATATATAATATTTGATAACAGAAAGTGGGTCGTCAGTTCATCATCATGGTTTAATTCATATATTTGAGAACTATATACCTCCCCAGCAGCTTCAATTGCAGCTAACCACTCGTCAGAAAATGGAACGGCATTTGGAGGCTTTACAGTTATAGGATCAGGTTTCTTCTCAAGTTTAGCATCCCTATTAAAACAATGAATTATCAGCCAATTCTTAAAATGAACTGCACTGGAGGAACAGAAAATGTTTACTAGCGGAGGCTAAATTACTTACAGTGGTATCATCTTATCCTGGCCTTCTGATGCCTTGCTTTCTAATGTCAAAATGTCATCGCTGAGTACATTGAACTCGTTAATTTGAATATCATCTCTCACTGAGAAAGCTTCTTTCATGGCTACTGGAGTTCCAGAATCTTCCTCTCTGGGCGCAAATGCTACAAGATCAAGAGAGCTTTTTACAACTTTAACTTCCTCTCCTTCATGGGGGATGGAATTTCGACCAGTAACCTGTGCACTGAAATCCTTTTCAGCATCTATCTGGAATTTAGCTTTTACAACATAGTTATGCTCAATGCTTCCAGAATTTGAATCCTCTTTTGACATCTCTTCAGGTATTCTGGAAAAAAATGTGCCCTCATTCAGACACTCAGGATCTCCAGATATAGAATTCGAGGAACTGATGGATTCACTCAGTGGAATTTTAGTTTTTCCACACAGGCCTGATGCAGTATGGATATCTTCTACTACGGGAAATTCTTGCTTAAGAATGCCCTTGACTGAAAACTCATCAATGTGACTAATAAGCTCTGAATTAGTAATCACATCCACCTCTGTCCGCTCCAAATTATCCTCAAGTTCCTCATCCGAGAAATCTGAGTCTGTAACCAAATCCATATCCTCCAGCTCTGAATTATCTTCAAGCTCCTCATTGGAACAGGAGAAAACAGCAGCAGATGCATCTTTTTCTGGAGAACAACCAACTAATGTTCCAAGTTGATCAGCTTGTTTCATTACACTACCAACATTTACATCAGATGCAATTCCACTACTAGAACAACTGTATTGCTTCTGCTTTTCAGAAGTTGATTTCTCAGGGAAGGGCTCATGACATAATTCCAGAGGTTGAACCTCCTTGCTAACTTCAACGGAAGAAGGCATTAGTAATTGCACTTGTTCCATGTTGTCAGCATCAGAAGAACCAGTAAAGCATTCTATCTGCATATCAGACTCATTAGCTCTTTCGTCCCTGGTCAAGACATCTATCTCATGACCACCCTCTTTCATTTCAAAGATTGAATGGCTCGACAAATGCTGTTCTTCAGATTCTCTAAACAAGTCTTGGCATTCGGAAAATGGACCAACGAAATCAGCTTCACAGTTTGTCTCTGTGATATTGCTTTTTTCACTTCTTACCTCCATTTCTAGTACAGCTTGACCATTACACACCATGTTATGATCACACAAAATAGAGTTCGACACAGCATTTTCCTCAAGATGGTTGCATGGTGATTGAACACAATCTGGTGCTTCAGCAGGCCGCAAAGGTAGGGAAACATATTCAGTGTTACCTAACTGATTTACTGAAGAAGATGGATCATCTACATCACCCTTAATTGAATCAAAATCCCCATTGAAAGTTGGGTCTGCAGTGAAAGAATTCAAAACCTCAGGCTGCTTTGCTACATTTTCAGTAGAATAAACAATTAACGCATCTTTTTCTCCAGAAGGGCAAGGACTAATCTCCTCTTCATTTCCAGGGTGCACGCATTCATTTAGAGGTTGTCCATGTACAGCCAGGGTATCAAAATCTCCACTAAAATCATTGGTGGAAAACATATCTTCTTCCCCCTGATTGCTGACTTTCAACTGTGAGTAGTTATTAAACAGTGTTAACTCATCGCATGGAGGACCCTGCATCGGTGAATCCATTGAATCTTTCAGCGGTGAAGCACAGTATTCTTTTTCTGAGCAGCAAGACTTCCTTTTCTCATCCCTATTATAACCACCATGCACATTATTTTTGCAGCCTGAGTGCGACATCTCACTGTTACTATGGAATTCTTCACACTTTGCAGTAGAAATCTTCTCAGATGTATCGTCCAGAACTAAGTTTCCAGTATCACCTTGAACGGAACATTGGTGCTCCAGGTTTTCTTTCATCTGAGAACTCCATGAATAACTCAACGCTTTGGATTCTACTTCCTCAGTGCTTTTCAAGTCCACTTTCATCTTTTCTTGTGAAGGTTTGAGAAATATAGATTGAGCAGAGAATCTTGCAGTTGAACTTGCACTGCCGAAGTTTCCAGTTGCTGCCTTGGAGTTGACACCGGGCATCTTTTCAGCAACTTGGGGTTTCTTGAAGGTAGGAATCAAGGAAAATTGAGAGGCTGAACAAATATCAGATCTGGCTAGCTGACTATGTTTGTCTCCTGCACTGTGCGACGGTTGAGAGTCGGACTGCAAAAATCAGGAATATTAAGTATGAGAGATTTACAAGCACAAAAACTAGTTATGACACGTTATAATTCAGTAATATACCTGACTGAAATAGCCAATTGAGGGTTTTGGCACTCTTAAGCCTGATGGTTTTCCCAGTCGTGAAACTGCGGGCTGCGTGTTTCCAACTTTATTGCAAGAACTTTGAGCTAACGAGGTGCCCAGAGTAATTACATTAGAGTCTGTCGATGCATGACCAAGCATAACCACATTTGATGTAGTCATAGGGCCAACACTGGACTTTCCAACAACAGAATGCTGTGAGTTGGATACTGAAGGAATTTCTGATCTTTTGCTGATCTGGAGTTCAAGAAACTGCAATACGTTACTCTCAGTCGGAAGAAAAAAGGGAAAGAAAGCATTTGCTGCAAATTTCCAGTGCATAAAGTATTTGCTATATTGGTTTGCAGAGGGAAGCATAGCTTTACCATATTTTTTCTAGCTTGCTTAAGAGAGGGCTTAGGAATTGAAGATTTACTCGCGAGACTGGATTTTGTTTTACTCTTGGTGCTTGAAGTGTTTTTACAGGAGCTTCCAGATCCTAAGCTCCTCTGAGAGTTCTCTGTCATATCAGAAGAGAAAACCAAGGTAATGTGACCATGTACCAATATATAAACAAGATGTTGCAACAGCATTTTTGTGAAAATTAAGAAAGCCAAAAAGGTTATAAGATGCAGATGTTCCATTTGCTAACTGAATGTGGACGTACTTAATTGCGTAGGTTGACTATTTTGCGCTTTGCTTGGACTTGGAGTAGTCCTTTTCAAACTGTTTGCAACTGTAATTGGGTCAGATTTGGTGGTAGGAACTTTAGATATATTCAGATCCCTGCTACGTGATGTTGTTGTATGCACATTTGCAGGTCTTTTCAGGGTTCAAGGAAGTTAAGGTTAACAAGCAAAAAGCACAAAAACAAGAAAGCATAGAAGCAACCTACGATGCCTAAACACTTGGTACTCTTAAGTAAGAAAAGGATATGAAGATAAAGGAGGAGGCCGCGGACAGCCACTGCGCTTGGAACCACTCCTCAAATCCTGAGCTGAGATAACTTTTTTCTGGGCCTATAAGGCAGACATTCAATGTTAGATAGAATGCGCCTTCAAGGAAATTTTTGGCTATGAAAGGAACATTGTAAGAAATGACTGATCACCCTCACTAGCTCCATAAAATCTAGGTCCACTAAACTCACCATGGAAGATTGGGATTTAGATGGTGATGCGTACTTCGGCAGTATGCCATTCACAAACTTCTTCTCTCTGTTTTTACTATTCACTGGCAAATCGTCAAATAAGTTTTCTTCAAGTGCTTGTAGTCCTGGTGAAACACTAGTACACTTGGAAGCAGACACGGAATCTCTGAACTCTTCCGGAATGGCTGGTAACCGATCTCCACCAATATGACAAGCAGTTCCAGTTATTTTAGATAGCTCAGATGAATCCAAAACACCTGGTTCATGGCCATATCACACATCTTAGTACATTACCTTTGACCTTTACGACAAACAGGACAATGGGAAAACAAATCCATAAAAAAATTCACCTTCTTCCGTTGAAAACGCTCTATCCCATGCTAAGCTTTTGCGCAAATTAAATCCTGCATTCTTTTTCTTCTTCTTCATCTGTTGTCGCTCCACACTCAGTTTGGGCAATTCGACTTTAGAATTCTCCTTTCCGATACTATCTGTATCAACAGAAGGGCATGGCTGCTCCATGTTGTTGCCTGTTACTCTTCCTGCAAAAAGAATCCACCTTTTATGTATCCGCAAAATACACTCTAACAAATCGGAGAAATGTTCAAACACTCTAACAAAGATTCAAAACAATGCTAATTCAACTAGTATTTAAAATATATAAATTCCCATTTTCAAACAAAGGGCTCAAACATTGCTGATTCAAATGTTCAAATACTCTTAATGAATTTATCAGGAGGAAGCTCGGATCCAGAAATGGAAGCGCTTACCAATTGGGGAAAAAGGAGGCCGAGTAGGAACGATACGACTCGATCTAGGGATTTGGAGAGGGGAGCAATTCAAATAACTCTTTCCTCGGCTCGAATTAACTTTCTTCGGAGTATTATTCAGAAGCCAGTTGTCTTCGTCGTCTCCTCCAGAGATATCTAAGAGATCCTTGTCCATTTCTAGCCTCCTTCGCTTTCTAGCAGTTTCTGAGATCTGACAAGTGATAAATCCGAAATCGTATAGCTTAGCTAAGGGTTTCCCCTTAATTACACTGAGCGAATCACGTCGGGACTTTCACGCCAATGTCCCAAGTCGGCAATTGGAAATCGTTCGGCCGATGTAGAAAGGAATATTCCGGCTTCGTAAGCGGGAAGAGAGGTTGAAAAAACTTGAAAATTGAAAAGAAGATCGGACCAACGTTACTCTATAATCTCAGGTTAATATTGTCATTTAATTCAAATATGTTGGGCCGTGATTTAAAGCCCATTTCAAGTTTTTGGGGATTGACCTTATCTCAATAATTAGGAACTAACCAATGTGCAAGTATTTGAACTTTTTGGTTTGATTTAAAACAGACTGCATCGTTAGTGTAACTTTAATGTCTTTATTTTTCCATTTGAAGCAATAAAGTATAAACGTTACCAGGACAGGACACTCTCTGTTTTTGCTAAAAAGGGCAAAATCTCTCGAGCAAACCATAAGATCGGAGGATCTTTTAAACAAGCTTTACTATTTTTCTATATTGAAAAACCTCATTTTCACCTTCACTTCCATTAAAAGAGTTAGGGTTCCAAAGAGCGGGAGTGAGAAAAGAGATGACGATGAATGAAGGTCTCTCCTTTATAGACTCTTCTTTGTTATTGATTCTACAATTACACAATGTACCATATGTTCTGACTTTTTTTTTTCTATGGAACAGAAAATTCTGTAGATGATCGTCTTCCAAAGTTCTTCAAAGTGTACTTACCTGATGAATCTGGAGATGATCTGGTAAAACACACACTTCTCTTCACTCTGTTTATGGTTTTGTTTTCTTGGGATTTCTAGTTCATTGAAACTTTAAATCCATTTCAGGAATTACCCATCTCTTTCAACACCTTTTTACCAAGCTCGTTGCCTAAAAATGTAATTGTGAGAAGTATTTGTGGGAACATTTGGAAAATGGCGTTTAGGAAGTGTTGTGGTGATATTGAGAGATTAGTTATGGTTCATGGGTGGAAGAAGATTGTAAAGAACGTAGGTTTGAAAGGTGGAGAGTTCTTGGAGTTTGAGTTTGATGGCTCTCGGTGTTTCAATTTCTGTATCTTTGGCCATGAAACGTGTAAAAAGCTTAGAAGTTCAGAGCAAATCAAAGAGATCGAACATGTATCTGATGGCGAAGATGATAAATGCAGTGATGATGATATCACAGTTCTGAATGATGGTGTTATTGATGATCAATATTATGGTGACGAAGATAGATCTAGTGAAAATATCATAGTTCTTGATGAGGAAATTAGTGATGTTCAAGATTGTAATGAGGAAGATACATATAGTGAAGATACTACAGTTCTTGATTATGCTGATAATGATGATACTAATGATGTTCAAGATTATGGTGAGGAAGATACATCTGGTGAAGATATCATAGTTATTGAGGATGATGATGATGATCAAGATTATGGCGACGATAATTATGCTGAGGAAGAGGATGAAAGAAGGAGAGGACTTCAAACGGAGAGAAAAGAGAAAAGTATGATAGAAAGTTCTGTCTTGTAAAGTTGACTGAGCATCGCTGTCTTTTAATATTGTTGTGTTTAAATTTTGATAGGTTCTTCTGGAGAACATGACAGACAATATCTGGACAATCACATGAACCCTTTCTTTACAGTGAACAAGAAGAATATGCAACGTGAAAATCTGGTAAGACTTGTAAAAATTTCATGTCTTTTTGCATTTCCATTAACCATCAATTTAAAATCATGTACCAGATCTGTTTTATGATGTTTTTGTTGTAATGCAGCGCATACCAACTAAAGTCATAGCTAATAATGGCTTACACTTCTCTGAGTTCATAAATCTGATTGATCCACTCGAGCAAAAGTTTGGTAAATTGAAGAGGAGAATTGAAGGCCAGAGAATCAGGAGGTTCGGTAGTATAATCAGAAGGAACAATGTGAAGTTGACTGATAAAGTGATTTGTGAGTTAGAAAAAGAGATGGATGGTTTGGTTCGCGAATTCAAGGTCCATGTTATAAGAGGATGATCTCTTGATAAAGCTCATCAATGCGTTAACATTAAGACATTATCTATGGTATAGAGTTCTTATATGAGCTGAGTAGAGAACTTGCACTTATGCATCTTACTGGTATTCTCTGAACATAATAAGCAATGTTGATTGTATAAGCAAATGTACTTCTAGATCTTGATTGTGTGTTTGTAATATGAAGTGCAAAAATCAAGTGCATTGTTCAAACGAGGTCATACTTTGTATTAGTGTAAGGTTGAATGAAATCTAAAAAGACAATAGTGAATAACGGGTTTGACTTTTATTGTTGCTTGTTGGATCCAGTTTACAGGTAAAAAAAAGAAAGAAAACAAAACAATTCGAATATCCTTACATTTTGGGAGAAATCATTAGAATCGGCCTTCCATGTTTGGGTCCAAATTCTTAGACCATGGTTTCCACTCCTGGAAGTTCATGTAAGAAAAACGTTGTTACTTCTAGTTTTATAGGACCTTAAGAAATCTATCAACAGAAGAGCAGAATACACAAGGAAATCAATGTTACAAAACTTGTAAACGCTTCCTTTCTTCTTATATTCTAACATATCTCAGCATCCTTCTTCAAGTATATTGGACAAGACTATTTCCTGACTCCATGCTGAGATTTGAGATAATACTAATACAAACTCTGGGGTTTAATGATGCAGATATCACAACCAAAGTCCTTTCTCTGTTGTTCTTTCATGGAGACAAGAACTGAACTTTCTGTTTTGATATCACAACATAAAAACTAAGAAGCGCTGTTTTCAAAGGAAGTTAAAGGTTAACAAGTGAGAGGAACAAAATCATATAATGCAATGAAGGCCTTGCAGTTCTGCTGAAACATAGTACATTTTTGGAAATTGATATTTATGACTATCTCAACTCTTACTGAATGGAAAGTAAGAGATCTCCAACAGTTTAGCAAGAATTTATGTCATAACAGATAGAAAATTCAACCAATCCCAAGACCACATTGCACATCTTAGTACCATAGACCATTACGTTACCTAAAGAGATTTTATGCAAAATTAACTCCATGTTTGGGCAATTCCACTGTGTTGTGGATCTACGCTCAGTTTGGGAAAAATCAACTTCATTCCTTTTCCTGCTTCATGCTTGCGTTGCCTCTAACCACTTCACAAAAAGATTTGAGTTTCATATACACTAGGCCCGGACCCGCGCTACACCGCGGGGGAAAAGTGTGGGTTTTTACTTTTTCCGAATTACGTAAACTTTTAACTGTTAAAATGGATTGTTGGTGTTGAATGTGGCAAGTATGAGAATATGTACTATCATGGATGTGTACTTTGTCACGTATGCTAGGTTCAGATCCGCGCTATAGCGCGAAAGAATATTTTCAGGTTTATTTTATTTTAACGTGTTTTGTCGTATGTGTTATTATTTCGCTCATTTTAGTATCAACAATTATTATTTCGAAATGTATATTTGGTTTCAATTCTTTGAGAAAAGTGTGTTTTCGGAAATTAAATATAATATTTTTATAAACTAAATAAAAGAACGTTTATTAAACAAATTGTATACTCACAATGTATGTGGTGACGAACCAATCAGCAAAAACCCGTGTATTTTAAAAAAAATCATGAAAATATATGATATTGAAAAATTATGAAAATCATGTATATACATGTATCACACAAGAATATATGAGTTTGAAAGATTTGTATATACTTGTATCCTATAAAAATAAAATAAAAATATTAATATACTTAATATTGAATAAGAGACCATAATATTCTTGTTATTCATTTTCCTTAAAATATTTAGAACATTTTAAGGAAAATTCAGAATTTAAGGTAATTTATTTAAACTAACTTATGGAATATATTCTTTATGACTGATTTTGTATTAGTAGTGATTCGATGATTAATAATTATAAAGATAAAATATCGTTATTAAAGTATTTTTAGTTAATTACAATAATTATCCTAAAATTTTAATTATTTTTTTTGTATCCAAAATATTTCGTATTACTCATTGAAATATATTAATGATTGTCAAATTTCTTTCTTTTTTTTCAAAATTCAAATATAACCATTTCTAGATATATATATGGATCTCTATAATTTTGCATTAGTTATGCTATTGATAAAATATTATTCTTTTTTTATAGGTAATTCAAATTGATAAAGATTGGAATAATTTTGAAACCTCTTTTCATATACTATTTTTTTATTCTGATTAAATCTTTCATTTAACATATTAGGAAATATAAAAAATAATAATAAAGATTTAATATATATAAAGTCTTTCGTTTTTTATAAAATCTTTAATAAAATCTTTCTTTTTTATAGCCATATATATTCAAATTTTATTTTTCGAAACATTTAACTAATTCAAACTAATTAACATTTTTATTAATTATATTACCATTTTTATGTATTTTAGATGCATTTTTATATTTGTTATACCAAATATTTTTAAATTATATTTTTCTATATATCAAATATTTAAACTTATAAAAAATTATAATTTTTTTTTGTTTTTTCATATAAGAAATTAATATAATAATTAGAATATTTTTAAAAGATTGAGATCTTTATATTCATAAACAAATTTTCCTTATAAGACATATTTTTATTTAGCATTAATATAGTTTCCTAAATGATAGGAATCTGGTGTATATTATTGAAATATTTGAAAAATATTTAACAAAAAATTTGGCAAGTATCCGATTGAAAATTTAACCCGGAATTTTTTGAAAAACCCGACCCGAATCTCTTTTATACTTCTCTTTTACTATAGTAGGGATATCCGTAAAATAGGAAATACAAAAGCTCTACAACTATTGTGGTTGGTTGTGGCACTGCACGTGACTACAAAAAAAAGGCCCCTCGGCGATTATTGTTTGTGACTTTGTGGCTCTTTGCTTAGGACTATATATGTAGTCATTTAAGCAATATAGATTGGATCGAACTTTAAGCCCATTTATATTTTTATTGGGCCTTGGCGATGATACTTCGGCTCTCTTAACGATTTTTTTTGAATAAGAAGAGTACTATTAATGGTCTGTTTTCCATTTGAAGCAATAAGCATCGAAACAGAGAGAACACTCTGTTTTTGCAAGTTTTAGCTACAAAAGGCCAAAACCTTTAGATCAAAACACATCTGAAAAAGCTTAGATCTGGAGAAAACAGCTCCAACTTTTTATTTCAGATAAATTTTAGGGTTTACGGAGAGTGTCCAAGAAAAACAAGAAGTTGACGACAATGAACCAAGGTTTCCAACCTTCTCTGTTTCGGATTCTTCCATTGTAATGTGCTGTAGAAATTTATGTTCTTCCTTTTGTTCTTTTGGATCAGGAAATTCTTCGAATGGGTCTACTTCAAAGTTCTTTAAAGCTTACGTTCCTGGTGAATCCGGAGATGATCTGGTAATCAAACACACTTCTCTTCACTGTTTTTTGGTTTTTCTGGTTTCTGGTTTGCTTGAAACTTGTAAATACGTTTCAGGTGCTACCCATTTCTTTCAACTGCTGTTTACCAAATCCTCTGCCTAAAACTGTTACTATTAGAAGTACCTACGGAAAGATTTGGAATATGGTGTTGAGGAAATGTGGTGGTGAGGTTGAGAGATTTGTTTTGGTTAATGGTTGGAAGAAGATAGTAAAAGACGAAGATCTGAACGGTGGAGATCTCTTGGCATTTGAGTTTGATGGTTCTCGGTGTTTTAATTTCTCTATCTACGAGCATGAGACCATGTGTAAGAGGGTTAAGAGAAGTTCAGAGCAAAACTTGGAATCTGATGGTGAAGAAGAAACTAGGACTAGCAATGATGTTATCGTTTTGCATGATGATGATACTGATGATTCTGATTCTGATTATCATCATGCTTCTGTTGAGGATGATGATGATGCTGAGGATGAGGATGTTGAGCCTGAGCCTGAGGATGATGCGGAGAATGAGCATGATGATGATGTTGAGGATGAGGACAAGGATGATCACAGGAACCCACAGTTCACTGTGACACTCAATCCAAACAGGAAAAGCCAACTGGTAAGCAAAAAACTGAATGTTTAAAGAATCTTTGGGTAATGGTGTTTTATGTGAATGCATCAATAGGAATATATCAATATGTTTCACGATGTTTGTTTATTTATGTAGCACATACCGGCTCATGTCATAAGAGACTTTGACTTAACCTTCCCCGAACGTATAACAGTCGTGGACAAATTGGGAGCATTGGAGAAAGAAATCAAGATTCAAGTGAATGGCTGCATCTTTGTCAAAGGATTTGGAAGTGTCTTCAGAAGGAACAAAGTGAAGACGACTGATCAAATGATATGCGAGGTTAAGAGGACCGGTGCTAATGTGGTTCACACCATCAAGGTCAACGTTATCAGAGGATGATCTCTTCACCTCATTAAGCTTTTATGAGTCTTATGTGTCGTAGCTGTGAGTTGGTTTTATTGTGTTAGCAATGCTAAAACGTCTATCTTAGGATTTGGTTTATATATATAACTAAGGATTTGGTCGAGAGAGATGTTAAAGTAAATCAAGACTTTTTTATAAAGAGTTCCTGAATCTCATAATCTCCCTGCTTTTTCCTGCAACAAAATTTATGTTGATGTCTTCTAAGCAAATCATGTTGTCTTGTTGTCTACAATGACTAGGGTCGAAAAAACTCTTCAGACAAATGGTACTTACATTGTTCGGAGGACAAAGGTCGCCCTTTGGGTTGGAGTAAATCAAATGACACTACAGAAGTGACAAATGTGTTTAGGATTGTATTTTGTTGTTGGTACCACTTTTTTTTATAAACTTACAAATCAAAATAAGAAAGAGAACCAAAAAAAATAAAAAAATGTTGCAATAGATTTGGAAGAAATCATGATATTGGCCTTCCACGAAAAGGTTCCAAGTTATGTCCAACTTCAGGGATTTTTAAGAACCTGCAAGTTCATGTAAGAAGAATGTTATTACTCCTAGCATTATATGACCTTAAGAAAACGGTTGACAGAGAAGGGGAAGACACAAGGATAGTAATGCTACAAACCTAAGCCTGCTTCTATTCACTAAACATTTCTCTTTCTGCTTTCAAGTTTATCCATTAAGAATCATGAGGAAATAGTACCACAAACTATGGGCGTTTTCCATCAAAAATCAGGGTTTTCTTCTTTTTATAACTTAGAATGTAGAATGTTATCAAAGTGTACTCATCGCGAGGGGAAAATGTAGTGCTGAGGTACAGATAAATTGAATGTTACGGTTTCCTAGAAAGTGTTACCTTGAAGTTTGGCAAAGGAGGTAATGGTGGAGCTCGTTGGTGGTTTCATGCAATGGTGGTGATGCTGAAGAGATGCTTAATCAGATGGGGGCAGATATATTCAAACTGAAGAAGCGCTAAGAATGATAGCAAGTAGCTGTGAATGAAGGCAAGTGTGTAGCTTCCGATGAGAATGAGAATCCTGAAGATTGCTGCCTTTGAGAAGAAAAGTGACGCTGTAGCTGCAATGGTGCCACTGGACTGATCTTGCATTTGCTATATCCTGGCTGTGATGATTTGATGATAACGTGACATAAGACCTTGTGTTTATTCCTGGAGACAGAAAACTTAAACTTATAGCGTAGAAGATTTATTCACTAAACTATTCTCGTTTTCCAGTTTAATGCTGCAGATATTCCAAGTTAAAAGTTGTCTTGTTATTTCTAATGGTGTTCTAGTTCTGGAAAGAAGGTGCACAAGATTGGGCCTGTGAAAAATGTGAGCCCAGTGACAAAACAGTTGGATGGATATAAAAAGATGTGTGATATTATTCACCATGGGTGAAAAAAATGCAGAAGGTAATGGAAATAAATGAAAAGGCGTGTCACATGTTGCTGCAGCCATGTGGTTCTCCATCTGTGAAGGTAAGCAAGCAATTCATGAATCAAGCAAAAACCAAGAATGGACCAAAATTTAGGCCCATTTATTTATGTGGGCTTTGGCGAATGCTTTTGTTCTACACCGAATTTTCTTTTAGAAAACGCAGTCGTTTCTTGTAGTGTTTTCCATTTGAAGCAAGAGTATAGAAACAGAGAGAAACCTCTGTTTTCCGAGTTTTTGCTACAAAAGTCTAAAAGCCACTCAAACCAAACCTTGCGATCTGAGAAAACTGGGGTTGGAAGAACTTTCCTAAATTATCTACTCGATCAGAAAATTAGGGTTCCAGAGAAAGGTAGACACAAAGAAGTCAAGTGAAGATGAACAAAGGTTTCTTCTTTACACTTTTTTTTTGGTTCTTGATTCTATAACTACACAATGTATCCTCTGTTTCTGATTTTTTCTTGCTTTGGAACAGGAAAATATTTGGAAGATTGTCTTCCAAAGTTCTTTAAAGTTTATTTACCTGATGATTCAGGAGATGATCTGGTAAGAAAACACTTACTATCTGTATAGAGTCTGGATAGAGTCTTTGATACTCTTCTCTTCACTCTGTTTTTGGTTTTGGTTTATGGGTTTTTCTTAGATGTTCATCTATAGATTTCTTTATGGTTGAGACTTTTACATGGTTTTCAGGAAATACCCATTTCTTTCACCAGATTTTTACCAGAGCCTTTCCCTGAAACCGTAACTGTTAGAAGCATTTCTGGGAGCTTATGGACATTGCAGTTTAGGAAATGCTCTGGTGAAGTTGAGAGATTTGTGTTGGTTGATGGGTGGAAGATGATAGTTAAGGACGAAGATCTGAAGGGTGGAGATTTCTTGGGGTTTGAGTTCGATGGCTCTCAGCTCTTCAACTTCTGTATCTACGAGCGTGAGACGATGTGTAAAAGGCTCAGACATTGTTCAGAGCAAAGCGAGGAGCTCATAGTGGAGTCTGATATTGAAGAAGGAACTCAGGATAGTGATGACGATGACGTTTCAGCTCTGGATGATGATTCTGAAGATTCTGATTATAACTATGTTGAAGATTATGATAGTGATGCTGCTCTTGAGGAAGAAGATAATGATGGTGATGAGACTGATATATATGTTGTTAATGATGCTGCTACTGAGGAAAATGATGTTGATGTTGAGGCTTTTAAACTTGGTGATCATGCTTCTGAAGATGATCGCAATCATCTGGATGATCCCGAGAATCCGTCTTTTACTTTGAGACTGAATCCGAAAAAGAAAAGCCAACTGGTACATTTAGCATCATTGTGTTATGAGTTTTTATGTGAATGCTATTACATATATAGCAATCAGTTTATACCTTGTTTTGTTGATGTTCCTTTCATAATGCAGCTCATACCGGCTCGAGTTATAAACGACTATGGTTTGCACTTTCCTGAGAGTATCACTCTCGTCGATCCACTTGTGAAAAAATTTGGGACATTGGAGAAGCTGATCAAGATTCAGACAAATGGCAGTGTGTTTGTCAAGGGATTTGGCAGTATCATCAGAAGAAATAAAGTGAAGACAACGGATAAGATGATATGCGAGATGGAGAAGACTGGTGACAACAACATGGTTCAAACAATGAAGATCCACATTATTCGTGGATGATCATACATGTACCTATCTTTAGTTATCTGCGTATTTGAGTTTGAAAGATAAATTAAGACTACTGTGGTGTATTGAATTCATGTAAGAGACTATTTTTTTAATCTTATCAGATCTATACTATGTCTTGTGTTATGGATTATACAAATCTATCTCCTCTTGTTCTGTGTGGCTGCACCAAGTAGTGATAAGTATCCCAGTAGCTTCATACAAATAAAATGCATTGTACTTACATTGTATGGATTAATCTCAGAGACAATATAGTAAATTACAAATGGGATAGGGTTTCTATTTTGGTATTATCCCTCAGTTTATGTTACAAATTATAAGCAGAAAGATAACCACACAGTGACAATAAGTGCAATATAGATTTTAAGAGACATCGTCGTATTGGCTGGCCTTCCACGGTTGGATCCAAGTTATTCCAACTTCAGGGTTGTCTAGAACCTGCACGTTCACGTAAGAAGAATGTAATTACCAGTAGTTATATAGGACCGTAAGAACACTATTGCCCAAAATATGTGCTTAGGATTGACAAAGAAGCTGAAAACAGGAGGAGGATAATGCTAGAAAACTTGGAAACTCTGTCTTCGTCTTCTATTCACTAAGAATTTCTCATTCTTTTCTCATGTTTCCATCAAGAATCATACTAGTACAAGCATCTCGAATTCTAGGGGTCTTACATTAAAATTTGGCTATGTTCATGTGAATAGTAAGATTAACGTATTGAACACGAGGATCATACTGCAGCTTATGCGCTGAGCCAAAAAGATGAGTTGAATGAAGTTATTTCCCAGAAAGTCTTACCTTGATTAGATGTAGGAAGGAGGAAGCTATGGTGGTGGTTGTGAGCGGTTCATGAGATTGTGGTGGTGGTGCTGAGTTGTGTAATCAGATGGGTGGATAACATAGAGACCGGGATGATTCAGATTGACGAAGGGCTGAGAAGATTGAGGAGTAGCTGGCGATGAAGGTGGGCGTGTATCTGAGAGTGAGAATCCTGATGATGCTGCATTTGAGAACAGTTGCGGTGCTGTAGCTGCTACAGCGGTCCCACCACTGGACTGATCATGCCCTTGCCATGTCCTGGCTGGGAAGCTTTGATGAGAACGTAACATTGGACCTTTCTCGGGTGTTCTTTCCTGGAGACAAGAATTGAAATTTTAGCGCACAGAAGATTATTCACTGAAATCTTCAAGTTTTCCGGTTTAATGATGCGCAGATATTCAATACAGAAACAACAAGCAACAACATAGAACTGTTTTTAAAGGATATCACCAAGTCTGGAAATCTAATTGAACTCACTTATTACTCAACTGATCAAATATCGTAACGGTGCCACTTCTGAAAATCTAATTGTACTTATTACACAAATTACTCCTAGGTCAAGTAAAGTTTGAGAAAGTTTTAAACTTGTCTTTCTATTTCTTCTGGTGTTCTAGTTCTGGACAGAAGAAGATTGTGAAAGTTATAAATGTGTGGTAATGAAAAACGGTTAGATATAAAGAGATGTATGCTATGGTATTTAAATTTACCATGGGTGAAAAGAATGCAGAAGGAAGGGCTTGCCGGTTATTAAGATGGTCTGAACCCCTCTTCAAGAAATTGAAAGGCGTATCACATGACGCTGCAGCCATGTGGTTCTCCATCTGTGAATATAATACAACATAGAAGAGCAAGAAAATTATGAATCAGTGAAGAACTATGATGGCTTGAGCTAGGGAAATTAGTAGCTTTGAGTTCCACATATGCAATGACAGATTGACAAAGAAAAACTTGACTAATTGCAGCAAAATGCATATGAAAGTAAAGTAAATAATATTTGGTGCACTAGAGGGAAAATTGCACCTTGGTGTTTCTTCCACATATGATACTGTTAGGGACATGGTGAAGCCGGTGTGTCCTATCTTTTTGTTTTGGACCATCTCCCAGTGAAAGAGAAATTCCCAAGTTGAGGTCAAGCTTAACATTAGCTGAATAATGAAATCAGAAAACAGACGAGTTTGTAGTAGCTTTTCACATATTGAGAGCAGAGATATCAAGGATGGCAGCAAAAGCTTAATAAACAATGAACCGAGCATCAATTCCATTACCTGCCTCGGGAATCATCCGGGATCCATGAGGCTCAATGAAGGAAGCAGCTTGCCTTCCATTCCATTGTATAGCTGCCTTGTCACAAGCCCTAATTCCATAAGAATCTGAACAATTAGTCTTGCACATTTTTCTAATAGATACAAATTCAGGATAGAAGATTTGATGCATACTGTAATTTACTACAATCACAAACAGCATGCAGCTTATACTCATATGACAATCATCCCAAGATAGAAAGAATCTCTAGATATTAACTCATAATCACAAATGGGTTTTTCCTACTAATAGTTCTAACGGAAACTTTTTCACATCAACGATAAATAACCAAAAACTTCATCTGAGTCCCTTCACTCTTTTTTTTAGTAATGAATGACAACCACATTTAGACAAAAACACAGAGCACATTGCATGTGTAGAAACCCAAAATTAGATAGCAGGAAAAGTTTATTACATGTTTCCATGAAATTGCTCCATTTGAGCTCCCCACCCGCCAATCTTTTGCAAAGCAACTCCTTGATATCTTGAATTATTCCTTGAGAAACCAGAGCTCTGCCGCCGAAGTACTTGCACAACTTCCTCTTTGGAAAGGTTTGCCATCTGTAAAGTTTGAAAACAAGATAAGCACAGATCAAAGCATACATGTCTTCATCATATTTTCTATATCCATAATCAAAACCTGCTTGAGATCCTCTTCATAATCGCTGATAATGAAATTGATGTCAGCCTCCAGACCCCGGAACTTGACAGCAGCTCGATCATAAGCCCTACACGAACCAATGTTGAGCTTATAAAACTAATATATCACAACGAATGACAGTTGAAGGATCAATTAGATCATAAAAAAGAACACAATTTCCAAAGAGATTACCTAGCTGCAGCATGGGCAGTATCAAATCCACCTATTAAATTCAAAAAGGTAAAGCTTTTATTAGAGAGCTAAGAACACAGCAAAAAAAACAGCTCACGGTGGTAGAGCCAATAGAATCCATACCTAAATAAACTTGTTTGCCGCAATCCCTGCAATCACCAGAAAATTGACAAAAGGGCAGATTAATACAAAATCTACAAAGCCCAGAGCTTAGGACCTGAAAGATAAACCCAGTTCTTCCAAAGTCTGACCAAAGAGAGTCATCTAAGTAAATTTTACCAGATATGCGATTCCCATCTCCCGGTCCTCCGGTAGAAAGTGACACCTCTATACTGCGAACTCTTAGACCTAGGACCTCTCCTGCTTTTCTTCACCGGCTGTGAGGGTGGCTGCATCACCCGTGCAGCGTCGCCACCGCCGCTTCCGCTGCCAACAAAGTCTCCGCCTTGTTTCCCTCTCTGGAAGGAAATATCAACGGTGCTCCTGGAGCTTTGTGCGCTCGAATCCATAAAATTAATGCCGTCTCTAGGAACAGGGAAAAAATCCTTAGTCATCATCAGGGCACTTCTGTCATCATTATCATCATCTTCGCCTTCATCTTCTTCTCCTCCACCTTTCAGTATTTCAAATTGAAACTTGACGGTTCTAGTGGAACACAGCTCTTCTTCACCATCGATGCAGCTAGATGCCTCAGCATTAACAACGGAAGAGTTCGACGTCACCGATTCATCCATCTGATTCAAAGAAACCCCTTTAACAGTAACCGAATCTCGTCCGTTCTGAGTAGACTCGGTCGAGTCGACGTCGAGATTGAGATCCAGCATCAATCTCAAAAATTCAACCAAAGAAGAAGAAAAAAAAGCAAAGCAAACAAACTCTGAGATTTTTATACAAGCACAACAGCTATTTCGTCAACCCCTTTACACACACACATTCATCAAACTAATCCGACCAATAAATTCAACGATCGCCGTCGATTTGAAATGAACAGAGATCAGAAATCACATTTCATCTTTGAAAATCTACAAGGGTATGGAAAAATCAGAGACAGCAACAGACGGAGATTTCAGATTCTGAAATCGATCAAAACACGAAGATGGACAAGGAATAATCTAAAGAATAGCTTGATCACTACGGAGAAAAACGAGATTCAGTGGAAACATGGCGATGAAGAGTTAAGTTGCTCTATGGGGATTTGAAGAGACAAAACTAGCTTTCGCCGGACGAAAGAGACTATCGTCGGCGATTAGGAGAAGAAAGGAAAAAAAAAAAAACGGGAATGGTGATGGGACGTAAGCCTGTGGGTTAGTGGCAACAAAGGAACATTATAAGTTTTTTATTATTATTCCTTCCATCTTTCTCGGCAATTTGATACCGGTAATGCCAGTTTCCGGTTAAAGTTAAACGTGCTTCTTGTTTTTGTTTTATTATCATGGTTAAAAACTTACAAATTAACTGAGGATTAGTGATATATTTACTGTTTTAAACTTTAGAATTATACTATTTGTGTGTGTTGTACAGCTTTTGGTGTTTTCTTTACTGAACAAAGATAAGTTTATTTAAATAGATATGCTAGAGCCTATTAAACATTAAACAATAAGAGCTAATTAGGAGTTCATGGAAGAAAAAAAGAGAGTGTTTAATTCGTAATTAAGGATGAGTTAAGTCTCCTATTAGTTACACTAGTTTCAACTTTGAAGAGTGTTTCTCTAACCATTTTGTAAACACATCAGAAAATCATCAAACTTAGGTTTGACTTTTTATTCTTGAACAAACTGAACTAAAGTGGAACAGTAGTAGTTCACATTTCTGACCAGAACAATTTTGTGCTAGGTGTGGTTCTTTTCTTTTTTCGTAAATTGTTCTAACGAGAATTCAAATATAAATTTATCGAGTGTAAAGATTAAGAAAACAAGATCGGAAGAGAACAGAAGAAAAAAACGAATCTACACCTATTCACAACTTTGAAGACACATAAAACCAAGAAACACTTAGAAGACACATATTCATAACTTTGAAGACAAAGCATTTGTTTTTCATTTATAGGCGGGTCCTATTTTTTCTAGATACGTCCTCCTCACTAGAAGAAGAAAAAAATCTATGAAGAGTGAGATAGAATATTATGACTTTATTAGAAATGGATGTCAAGTTTGATTCCAACTACTGTAAACAAATGTGTCACACATATAAGGAAAAAATTACATGCTTAAACATAGCAAAAATTATATCATTTAAAATTTGTGAAATAGTTTGAGATGATAGAAAATAAAAAATTTTACTAACACAAGATTAATAGCTCAAAATACAAAATTTGGTCGACAACTCTCAACATAGTGATGAAATTTGGTTTCTATGTGTAAGGTTTTGACAGTCACACACACGCATATTGATTGGCTATTGACATATATTGAAGATGTTAGTTATCTTTGACTGGTTTGTAAGTTTTAATAGAAATAAAAAAAACGATTCATGTGTTTGCTACAAGATCTCAACATAGGGTTAATATATATCTATCAAGTGTAGAGGAAATCTATTTATTCAAGTTCTACAAACATTGCTAATCGGTGATATAAACTATATTATAATGTATAAATAAAGTAAAAAATTGAAAGATAACAAATTAAATATCAACAATTTGTATTCAATCTTATGGTTTTGGATGAAGAATATATCGTATTCACGAGTATTGTGTGAGGGGTGAGGAAATATAAACCAAAGAGATCAACGACGAACTTAAATACTTAATAGGTTTTTGAGATAAAGGCATAGATATGCCCCATAGTAAAATAAAAGAAAGAAGAAAAAACAAAGAAGCCATTACTGTTGTTTCTTTGACAAAGCAATGAAGCTACTCTGTTTTAATCATAGGAACTTAAATTAAAGAGAAACAAGTAAAGCTTAATTGCAAACATAATAACCAACAAAGTCATTTGACTATTGTATGTATACACCATTGTTTAAAGAGCCGAGAGTGTTATCACAAATTTTGGTTGAAGTCGGTTCAGTTTTTTAATTTATCTTATATATGGATCGCAATTCTTAATATGGGTGGTGACAATATTATTAAGGCAACTACACACAAGTGAGACCAAACTACATACATATCATGTTCTTTATGTTGCATCCACCGGAGTTCGAACTCAGGTTGCTGTCGATGAAGAAAGGAAAGAAATTACTTGAAAAATACGAATCTCTAATTTTTTTTTTTTTTTTTTTTGGGCAACTCTAACTTATTTGTGAATGTTGATGTTTATGTAATGGGGGAAGGGTATGTCAAATGAAATAAATTGCTGACTGGTTTTAGCCGGTTGCCAAAAAATTGGAGTGTCAGAAAAATCTCGAAGATCATGGATATTAACGAGTAGAATGAAGCCACGTGTACAACAGAGATTGAACCCCAGCCATTCAACTACTCTCTCTCTCTCTCAGGTCAAAAATCTTCCTCATCTGTCTATCTGATCTGACGGCCCACGTCCGTTCTTACTTTCCTGAAATTTAGGGATTCATTTTTTTCCTGTTTTTTCTTTCATGTTTTTACCTTTTCTTAAATATTTGCCATTTTAACAACTACAACAACCTTAATTTTACTTTTGACTAAAACAAAACTGTAAATGTTATGCTGTTGTATATACTGTATTGTGGAGTCTTCAAACTTTCAAAATACAGAATTAGGTTACATTTATTAAAATAAAACCAGAGAAATAAGACAATAACTAGTCTTTATCTAGATTTTTTTTTTAAATGTCACTGTTATTATATTATTTTCTTATTTGTTGTCATATTCTTTAATAAATATTATCAATCATTTCTTTGTGAAATCATAAATATATTAATCATATACTGCAGACGTGGACGCCTTATGTCCAATCTCTTTTGAAAAGGATATATGTTATAACATATATATATATAATTATTATTATTTTGGCAAAACTCTACATACCTAACTTATGGCTAAAGACATCATCGCAAGATCTCATATTTTTCATTTGACTAGATCGCATTTTCATCTATTTGTGTATACTTCGGTCGAAGGCTTGTTCAAGATTGGTCTATATAAAAATTAGTAACATTTGTTTTGCGAAACATCACATTACTTAATACAGATTCACTATAATTGATTCTTGTTTGGAAACTCTTTTACTCATTATTCCATTTATTACCTTTTTAAAATAGTTATAGGATAATGAAACCTGGTTGTTACTATGATATCATTTTTCTTTTTTAATTATTTTAAAGTTCCTCAAGTGGAATAAAAACAAAACAACGTATATATTAAAAATCACAGATAATATATTTAAATTATCATAGTTGTCCAGAAAGTCCATGATCATGTGAGTTTACTATTAATCAGAAAAATGAATATTGTTTTTGGTACGATGTGACACTGCAAGTTCAAGTTGGCCATCTTTTCGTGCGATTATTCAATTATCCCATTTTATTACAAAGTATGTCTATAAGAATTGGCGATAGTATCTTTTAATCAGAAACGTACTAAATATCCAAATAATCCTTTAATTAATATCTCAAAGTAAGGGTGAATTAAAACAGGGTAATTATTTGTGTTTTGTTTACAAAATAAAAATCCAATAAACTGTCCTGCAACAGTTATTTATAATTATATATCGATAACTAATTCCCAATAAGCTTGCATTGCAGCAGAGCTGCAGAGTACATACTTAGGTAAAAATCTCCAACTAAAACAGCCCAAGTTTGTGTTTACCGTCAATGCCACATTACGTATATGTATGTCAGTACATGTAACCAGCGTAAGTTTTCTAGTGTTGTGGATTTGATATTTTATGACCAATAGGTCCATAACATAGTAAGATACCTCTTCATCTCAAATGGTAACCCTTGTGTAAAAACTCCAACCTTGCTTTTCAAAAAACATTAATTGCGAAAAAACCATTTCTTACAAGAGTCATGCATGCAATGCAACTACCTTAAACACCCGAACAACTTAACCAGTTTTGAGACATAAACACAAAGTAATTATAGTCAGCAACGAAGCTTTAATGATTCCAAGATGTTTGCAATGTTGTTTCCGTGAGACCTACGCAAGAGATGGACGAAAGGCATGAGCTTCTCCACCAAACACCAAAACAGATCCATCCTAGACATCTCCTTGGTCATTCTCAGTGCCTTGCAGACCACGAAACTTCCAAACTCATTCCTCCCCAGCCTCATCAACCTGTTTCCCTCGCACTCCAATAGCTCCACAACCACCACCGCAATTGACTCCTCTGCCTCCAGAAGCTTCTCCATAACGTAGCTTCCGTACTTCTTAAACGAGAGATCAATGCAATGACCACGGAGATTTACCACGATGTTGTGAATGCTACGAGAGTCAAACAGTGTAAGCACATGTTGGACCACAAAGTTCCCTGAAGCGTGGTTGCTTAGACCGTGAGCGTTGTCTGCGACCAGGTCTAGTATCTGATCCCTGTAGTAAGGATCATCCGCATCGGTTATGATATCGTTGAGTGCGATGCAGCCGTGTTGGTCACACGCTAGGTCGAGAGCGTGGTGGAGAATGTGCTCGTACATTACCTTTTTCTTCTCCTCTTCGAAAACGGTCATGGCTCGTATCGTCACGTAGGATGCGTATTTGTCAGCCGTGATGTGCAAGAAACGGCGCAAGATAGCGGCGCAGAAGAGGGCGTCCAAGTCATCTGATATCCCGAGGAGCTTCTGCACGCGTTTCGAGCCGAACTTATTTGTGACGATGGCCATGAAGTAATCGGAGTCTGACGTCAGGAGCGACGCCATCCTCTGAAGCTCTGTCTTGTCTAGCGTTGAGATCGTCTCCTTGAAGTAGGACAGACCTTCGCAGCTAGTCATTAGGCTGAACATGGCCGCGTGCAAGTTAGTGGCGGACGAGGCGTGTGGGGCGAATCCAGGAGGAGGGATGGAACTGGAGACTCCATTAGGGTATGGTAAAGCATCGAACATGGTCGACATTGAAAAGGTATTATTGTTGACTGCCATTGATGATGTACAGACGTACAAGGGATTAGTTATGATTTGTGTGATTTTGGAGAAGTGTGATCAGAGACTTGTGAATGATGATGAGACTAGTGTTGGATCTGTGGTGATCATGTAAATTAGTATTTATAGAAGAAGAAGCTAACAAAGTTAGGCTCTTTCTTTGTTTTCCTTTTCCTAGTCGGATTTACATTATTTTTCTCTACTAGAAAAAGGAAGCTTATTTTGTTTAAAAAATGAAAAACAATTAGAATTATGTACAATCTACAACGTTAAACGAAAGACCGGTGGAATTAGAATATTTTGTTTAAGCTTATTCCAAGTGCATAATCTACAATCTACAATTAGAATTTTGCATAATGTTTTTATTTTATTAGCCGGGAGTTTTACTCCTGGTTTCCTACCAAAAAAAAAAATCTACAACGTTAAACGAAAAAGTTGAATTTATATTATTCCACCAGGAAAATCAAATTAACTTTTTTTTCTTTTGTAGAAAAAAAGGAAACTTATTTTTGTGGAGTTTTCCTTTTTATTTTATTTTCGTATCTATAAATGATTCTACTAACATTAACATAATTGAAAAAATGGAAACAAGTAAATTTTGTACAATATACAACGTTCTGCATAAAGTACTCACAAATTCACAAATGTCTTTGAAGTCATACTAATCCAAATATGGTTTGTGTTGTCACAAGTCTTTTGGAGGAGCAAAGAAAAGGCCTCTGAGGACTATAATTCACTTTTGAAAAGAAAGTAGCAAAGTAAAAGAAGAGAAGAAACAGAGAGAATGTAAAATTCTTCAATCACACACTATTGCTCCTCGTTTCCTGGATTCTCATCATCGCTTCCTTCTGGTGGTCCATGGATCTTAAACCTGCATTTAGTTGTAATGAAACCATCATTATTCAGAGAGTGAGAAGGATTAAGTAAGATCTTCTTAATGCAAAAACAATATGGCTCCGTCACCTATTGATGTAGAAATTTCCTTCATTGTACATCACTGTATCATCAGCGCCTTCCTGTGTGAAAGAGCAAAAACCACAATCAAAAAACATTTTAACTTCAAACCAATACATGGTGTCGAAGGGAAAGAGTCTTGTGTCATACATAGTACATGCCAAGACGAGAGCCACAACCGATACAGAACAGTGGAAGCATAGTATTGTCAATTCGGCCATTAGCAGTGAATGTCATTTTATCAGTCCCAATCACCACATTGTAGCTGCCACCATAAAGGGTTTTTAGAAGTTGTCATAAAGTAAGATGAATGAAATCTGAAGCATGCTTTTTACCATTTGGTGATGCAGTATAGTTTTCCAAGGCTGGCTGGATATTGTAATAGCAGATTCTGCAAAACAAATCCTCCAGACATCAGATAAAAGTTTTTCAGTAATGCTGGTTGAGAACAGATGAAATAATATCGAATTCTACAACTTGTTTCGATTTCTAAAAGCACATAAGACAAACCAAGCATCTAATAATCAAACGTTGGATTCTTGCTGAAGACTTCATCAACGACCACAAGGAAACCGAAAGAAACAAGTCAAGTTTGAGAAAGAAGATTAAATCAAACCCTTTTGACTGGAGGATCCTCGTAAACAACGAATTCGATTTCGCAGTGCTTGCATTTGTAAACCGATCCCTCCAGGTCTATCTTGAACAATCTCCCCATTTTCGTCCGAATATTTTCCCAGCAGATCTCAGTATATATCTACGATGATGACACACGAAGAACACAAGATTCAGATGGATTCGTTAGCGGAAACAATGGAAGAGAAAACTTCGGAAATCTGATAAAAATATTATCAAGAAATCGCCGTGTAACTTCAACATCAAATTGACAAGAAAATTGAGAAAAAATCACCTAAAAGACGATGAAGATGTACTCTATTATTACTTAAGCCTACTTCTAAAGTATAAAAAGATGCAGCGGAAAGAAAATTCTAAGATTCCGAGAAAATCAAACCAGGAAAGATCGTTCGTTCGTCTTACCCAGAGGAAGAAGAAATGACAAAAGAGAGAGAACAGAGGAACTAGAGTTTTCAAAACTTCCCAGCGAATGATATAAATACGAAACTAAACAGTCCTCAATCACGGCCCATGATTAACGGCCCAATTTCTTATTAAGAAACTGTTTGTAAATTGGTTGACATTGGGTTTAGGAAATTAAACCGGGAATGTCAAAGTTGAAGAGAACCGGCACTGTATCTTCGTGTATCTAAAGTATCATACTCTGATATTTTAAATAAAATCTGATATTATAGGAAAATCAAATCTGATATTTTACTCTGATATTCTACTATAGGAAAATCAAATCTGATATTTTTAAAATAATAAAATCTGTAAATTTTAATATATTTTTTTCTTCTAAAAAACTATTAATAAAAAGCCACATTTTAGCAGGCAAAACATATTAGATTAATATCTAGTGATAGATATATTTAACTAAAACTTAGGAGTTTATTATCTTTTAATGAACTAAATTAGATTTTGTTTGATTTCTATATATAAATAATATATTAAATTTTGTATTTCATCATCACTTATCAAATATTATAAAGTCCTTAATTTTTTCACATCCAATAAATCTGGTCCAATCTTCGGGATTGAATTCGAGAGGTGTAAAAATTTAAACTTTATTATTATTACCTCTAACTGCAACAACCAACAAAAAAAAAAAAAAAAAAAAAGATAAAATAGCAAACCGAGATTGTAAATGGATATTATTCCACTAAAAGTCTAGGCATAGAAGATAAAACACAACACAAATAGGCAATAAACAACAAATATCGTCACACCAAATTCCTCGCCATCTTGGAACCGCTTTACGTTCCGAGAATTGACTTCTCTATGGCCGGTTAACCTGTTCCCAAATTGGTTTGTGTGCCTAGTAGAAATGAATTCGCCGTGGCCGGGTAAGCTGATCCTATGAGCTCCATACGTGTAGTTAAAAATATGTCCACACCTAATAAGGTTACAAAAGGAAGCATCTCTTATTGAGGATAAGGATTATCTATTTAGATAAGTTTTCTAAATATATTGTGATAAGGATTAGGAGAGTTTGTGTCTATCTTATGTTCATAAACGTTTGTATAAATACCCAAGTTTGGGATGTTAATAAAATCAAGTTAGTTCGATAACCAATTCTACATCTCTTAACAACAATGTTGCTTTCTGGAAAAATATGTATGTAGGTCGTACCTGCAAGTCATGTGGTCGCATCCGGCAGAGCGTTCAACCATGTGTTGGCAATTGTCACATCGACGCCATTTGTTAACAATTGACTATGCAATTTCTCGTACGCGGCGCAGCTTAGCTTACCATGCCACGGAACTTTGCAGCTGATACAGAAGTCGCCACCGCAGTTGAAGCATGTCCTACGTCCAAATTCTCTGGTTATAAGGAATTGAATACTCCCTAGTCATCGGCTTCCACATCAAACGCAGCTTTTCATTCAATATCTCGCCACATCTATCCATATATAGGTGAGACTTGCAGAGATGCTGAGGACATGTCGGTATCTTTCGATCAAGAAGCTTCACTTCGATATGTGATTTCACACAAGCTAAGCAAAATCTATGGCCGTGTACACAAGCAGAGAACATTAGATCATGATCAACGTCGTCGAAACAGATTTGGCAAGTCTCTTTTTTAGCGAATCCCCTATGATTGGTAGTACTCTCATCGAACATCTTAACAAGATTGCAAGACATGAATTGCTTCCTCATAACTCTCACATCATCCATCAGCAAAGCAATCTTTTTCTCTTTGGGATTCGATATATTCGATAGCTAGATTCAAAAAAACAAAAATCAAGGTTACATTTTCCAATATTATTATTCATGGCTGAGATATAAGCAGAAGAAAATGTGAATCTTACGTATTTGAAAATCTGAGGGAGACGGCAGTATATAGAAACGTGATTGATCCCTAGTTTAGTGGTTTCTTCTAGGCCACGCATTAAAGCCCTAACATGAGCCTCTGTGGAAGTCACGTAGTGGTCACGCAGCAGTCCATTAGTCTTCAATACCAGATAGTCCTTGTGGTCGTAGATTGAAACCTCAAATCTAGTAGTTGTGACCGGCTTTTCGCTCTGGACCACCACTCTCTCTACGCATACAAAACTATTAAAGTAAAGCTTATGAAACTGAGGTTCCGCATTGAGTGTTTCTTTAGCGGCACCGGGAATCACTGAGCCGCCGTCGAAGTTCATTTCACATGCCACAGGTTTACGTATTAATGTTATAAGACTTATGGTGTATATATAGATAGACAGTAATCATTATCTGAGTTAAGAATATTCCAAGATAATCGGGGGAAATCATAATTCTATATATCCAAATATTTACAATATTATTACTAAAGTCAAAAATTAGAAAAAAAAAAAATATATATGTAAATCGAAACGTCGACGTTTGTTGACTCTTTGGCCACGACATTCGGTTTAGCTCTTAACCAACCTTCAGTGTCCAAGCTTTTGATTTTGTCTACGTCACCAATCTCGGAATCGAGTCGCACATTACACGTAGGCTAAATACGCCACGTCATCAATCCCAAAATAATATCTTCTCTTTCTGTTCCACCACCTCCCCAAAAGTCCCAATCTTTCAATCTCTTCTTCTCTGTTTCTCTATAAAGTTTATAATTTTGTTTTTTTTTTAAATTCTATTTATAGTAGCAATTGGATCTTGTATAGTTGTTGGTAAAAGAAAATATTGATACGAATCAAAACCAGATTAAATGCTAAACAAACCAGATTAAGCAAAATCTGTTCTTTTTTTTTTTTGGGGTTTTGAAGTCAGACATGATGAGAGGTTTTGGTGGTGGTGGTGTTCTTCATTTATGGATAGGCTTTAAGCTACAAAGGTCTGTTTTTTTTTTTTTTTGTCCCTTTGACAAGCTGGTGCTGTTTCAATTTTGTGCCTATCTCGTTTAGTATACCGTAGCTTATAGTTTCATTTTGTACCATTTGCTTATAGTTTGATGTTGTATCTGCCTATCTGGGTTCTGAAAATTTCTAAGGACTATGGGAAAGTAGGAGATCCTAGATCTATGAAATCAAAGAGACTGTAATCAGTGTTACTCATCTCTTCTTCTTTAGTTGTTTCCAATCTCTTGTTGCCAAGTATTGTGATGATTTTGTATTGGTACACATTTCAGAAGCAATAACTTTCGGATTGTTTTTGAAAGCTGATTGTGTTACTATTGAAATTTGAATTTGCCTTTGGCTTGTTTAGCTTTTATTTGGACAAAGCTTGTTAATTTATCCAAATTCAGGTTTTTATTTGGTTCTGGTGTGATTTTCTTACGAATTGTTGTGCTTTTTTTTTCTCTCTCTCTCTTATAATGTTGAGGTTTTGCTGAAGGGATTAAAATAAGTTTGGCAAAAGAAGATATGTGCAAATGTTATGCCAGTGTAGAGGGGAAGTTTCTGCAAAATCTTAGACGTTATTTGATGCTGCTTCTGTTCTATCTTGTTCATGGAGGCTGGTCTTAACACTGTCATCAGACATTAGTATTCTAAAATGTGTTTTAATAACAACGAAACTGGTGATGAAGTTGAAACCGAGAGGCAAGTGTTTGGTTTATCCGAACAAGATGAATTTCGAGTTGGAGATACTACTGGAAATGCCAACAATTTGATACAGATTTCTCAACAACAACCACCACTAGCTCCTGTTGTGAAGTGGGAGAGGTATCTCCCGGTTAGATCACTTAAGGTTCTTCTCGTGGAGAATGATGACTCAACACGCCATATTGTTACTGCCCTTTTGAAGAATTGTAGCTATGAAGGTATATTGATTGAATTTATCATCCTGTTTAGCTATCACATTGTTGCTTTCGACTAACTGTTGTAAATTTGGAAACATTTCATCAGTCACTGCAGCTTCGAATGTCCTTGAAGCCTGGAGAATCCTAGAAGACGAGAAGAGTTGCATTGATCTTGTATTAACAGAGGTTGTCATGCCTGTGCAATCTGGAACTTGTCTGTTGTCCAAGATTACGAGCCATAAGACACTAAAGAACATCCCTGTTATAAGTATTTACTTAATCTTCATTAAATTTTCTGGACCTAGTTTCAGTATGTGATGCTCAGTTAGTCTAACTCAAGATGTGATGTTCTCTTTTTTTGTAGTGATGTCATCTCATGATTCTATGGTTCTGGTCTTTAAGTGTTTGTCGAATGGTGCTGTTGATTTTCTCGTGAAACCCATTAGAAAGAACGAACTAAAGAATCTTTGGCAACATGTCTGGAGAAGATGTCACAGTGTAAGTGTTCTGCTTTGATTACTTTTTATTTTTGAAGTTACTCTGTGGACTGTGTTCTTATTTTTTGTTTATGAGTTTCTTTATATACCAGTCTAGCGGAAGCGGAAGTGAGAGTGCAATACAGAACAAGAAGCCAGTGAAAACTGAAAGCTCTGAAGGGTCAGAAAACGATGCCAGCATTAGTGATGAAGATCAGGGGAATGAAAATGGGAGTAATGGTTTGGGTGACCAAGATGGTGGGAGTGATAACGGGAGTGGAACGCAGGTAATATGTTTCCATGGCAATAGAGAACAGTTATGTCTGAGGAATCTGTTGTGAGTTATAATTGGTTTTCAATTATAATAACAGAGTTCTTGGACCAAAAGAGCCGGTGATATCAACAGTATCTCGCCTTCATATCAATTTCCCGATGGAACCAATATGAACCCGAGAACTAATGGCAACAGATTGGATGATGTTAATAAACTGAAGGAAATTGAAGATCAGAATGAACAGATAGGTAAGAGCATAAATTTATTGGCCAATTAAAATCACAATACACTGGTTTTGGAGAAACATTCCGGATAATTTCTCTGTTGTACTCTAACTCAGAACGATGACTTTAGATGATTTTGCAGTAGGAATGGGATCGCAGGAAGGAATGTTTATAGGTAAAAAAGTTGAAGAACGAGGAAACCATGACAAGGATGCAAAAAATCATGTTCAAGCTTTGGAGAGAAACAATGATAACTCACAAGTAGAAAGCAAAGCACCTTCATCTCTCCCAGAAGATTTGCCAAGAGAGGCTGGGGATTACAGAATCGGTGATCAAAGTGTTTTGAGGCATTCCAGTCACTCTGCATTCTCAAAGTAAGTTCTTGACCTCAACTGACAAATCAAACCTGTGACTGATTTGGAGTTATTGTTTCGTGTGTGATATGCAGGTACAATAACTGTGCTACTTCTGCTTGTAAGGTATTTTATGATGTGTGGTGCTGTCTTTAAAATCTATGACAGTTTTCATCAACAAGCTTTAATTTTTGCTGACTTAGGCTCCAGAAGAAAATGTGGGAAGTTGTTCTCCTCATGACAGTCCTATTGCAAAACTGATAGGTTCGGGTTCAAGCAGTGATAATCCTTTGAATCAGCAGTCTAGTGGAAGCGAAAGATCAGCACAAAGAGAAGCTGCTCTGATGAAGTTTCGCCTCAAACGTAAAGAACGATGTTTTGAGAAAAAGGTAGCTCCAAACAAGCTTAAGCTCTAGTTTTTTGAGGCAAAAATTATGCGCCTGTTTGTTTTCTTTAGGTTAGGTACCATAGCAGGAAGAAACTAGCTGAGCAACGGCCTCGCGTCAAAGGTCAATTTATTCGCAAGTAAGTCTGAATCCACTTACCATATCACTCTCTGAATATACAAATTTATTCCTCATATAGTAATTTACTGACGTAGAGAAACCTTTTTTTTTAACATTAGGAGGGATGATACTAAATCAGGAAGTGAGTGTCCAAGTAGTGACGACAGCTAAACAACGAAATTGGTATAAAAGAGAGAATAGATATACACACTTAGAAGATCTAAAGAACAAAAAAAAAAGTTTCACTAAAGTGGAGGGCATATATATACAGTATATACTTTTTTCAAATAAAGTCTTACAAAGACTATTGTCATGAGAATTTTCTTGTGTATTAGTGTATTGTTTAAATATCGTATTTCTACAAACATAATAATGTTGCTACAGAATTTTCTTGTGCATTAGTGTATTAGTTCCTTCAATCATTTTACTCAGTAATCTCTGATTTATATTTAAAAAAAAATATTCATTGAGTATCCCTTAATTACACTTTTTTTTTTGTTAACTTCCATGCCGTTAAGAAACGAACCAGTAAACAGAGTAAAAAAAACAGAGTATTATTAATTTACCAATTTAATAAATAAACAGAGCATACTCTCACCTCTCTCTCTCTATATATATATACATTTTTTTCCGCCGAGATCGTTTAGTGCTCATCATTAACTCACTCTCTCTCGTTCTCTTTCTCGCTCAAGTTTTCTAGTTGAGAGTCTGTTTAATTACGTTCTTTTCCGGGAAAAAGGTTTCTCGAGAAACTAAATAGAAAAGCCTCAAGAAAGATTTCTCTTCGCTGATCGTTACGATGATGAAAGGTTTCTTCTGCTGTGTCAAAGGAGAAAGCTCAAATAGCGCAGCGCAGAATCAAGTGTTTGACGACGAACCATCTGGGCGAAACGAGTTCCTCAATCGTATTTGGAGAGATGAGCTCCAGATCCCTCAAAGTCCTGGAGTTGAAGGTTCCGCTTTCGTTTCAAATCTTTAGGAATCGAGATTTCTTGTGTGTTTATGGTTTCTTGTACCTTAAGCAAATCTGTTCTTTAAGAGTTACTTGTTTCTTCGTTTTGATCTCGTCACTTTCTCATGCAAGTGAAAGTCGTAGAGTTCTTCTTGTCTCGAAATTAACTGAATCATTAACGTCATATTATAGTCGTGTACCACAAGAAATTGATTTAGGGTGATCTTGTTCAATCTATCTCTAACGTTTTAGTGATTCATTTTGCAGATCCGAATGCTATTCTTTTCCCTATAAACCCACCTCTACCTGCCAATTGTGGACCATCATACCAATGGCGCGAGATCTTAGACGGAACCCTAAACTTCCGGCAAACGTGTTTACTCGGCAGAGGCAACTTCGGCGATGTCTATCGCTGCGAATTCAGAAGAACTAACCAGGTATAGACCCAAAAGTCGTGTCCTTTATGGTTAAATGTCGAAACCCGGTTTCTAAACTTTTAATTGATTAGGTTGGAGCTGTGAAGATTCAGAATCGAGACAATCCAGCAGGTCATCAAGAGTTCTTGGCAGAGGTTACAACGTTACATGAAGCTAATCACCCAAACGTGATTAAACTTCTTGGAAAATGTTACGGCCGCAGAAACCGTGCTATTGTTTACGAGTTCATGCCCAATGGCTCTCTTGAACGCCACATCTTTGGTAAAGAAATACTCAAACAAACCTTTATTTAGTCTGGTGTTTAAACTTACTTAACTCCTTCATTAACATTCGGTTTTTTGTAGATTACGCGAGGCAGCGTCAGAGAGTGCGACCTCAGGGTATAGATCAGCCAACTAGGCGTTTGGATTGGGAGACGAGGATGAAAATTGCCGTGGGTGTAGCTGAAGGTCTGCTTTATCTACACCAGGAGCTCAAAGTAATAAACCGAGATGTCAAGGCCGGGAATATTCTCCTTGATGCGGATTTTGTGCCGAAGCTGACTGATTTTGGGCTGGCTACTAAAGTCAAAGTAAATAAAAAAGGCGTTGAGAAGGAGAGGAAGATCGATCTGATGAAGGGAACTCCAGGATACATCGCACCGGAATCAGAGTACTCCAAGTTGGTTTCGACCAAGTCCGACGTCTATAGCTATGGGGCTTTCCTGTTAGTGCTTTTCACCGGAAGGAAACCTTTTATTCCTAACCAAGTACCTGCTGAGGCCGAGAAACATAAAATCACTAATTGGGTATGACTCAAACCTTGCATTTAGGAACTTTTTATATGTTTCGTGTTCTGCAAGTAATATATAAAACTGAGTTGGTGTTTGGATGTTCTCTTTTTGACAGTTTCTGCGTGTATGGGGTAGATTTGGGAATGCGTCTGAGTCTGTGATGACAGCTGATACTGCGCTCGGCAATAGATTTTCGGTTGAAGGTTTAAGGAGAATATTTGAGACTGCATTTATGTGTATAAAGGAAGAGCCACGTGCACGCCCTGCCATGGCTGATGTAGTACAGATGGTTCTTGGAGCTGCAAATTTCCCGGTTCAAGTGGTGCCTCTGCTGGAAATGAGCCATACGATATAACAGAAGTTTCTTCAGGCGGTTTTATGCAGGCTTCTTTTTTTTTTATGGTTTTTTGGGTTTTTTTCAGAAACATATTATAGACTTGGTTTTGTTACTGGTTCTACTAGCTAATTTGATCATGTTGTGATTTTTTTGAGACAATACCATCTAAAAGTTGTTAATCAACGTTTAAGATCTTTTGTCTTCATTTATCTGTTTATGAAACTTCTTAAAACAGGGAAGAGGTAAAAATCAGAGCACAAATGCACAAACGTTCTTGTTGGAGTTTTGTTAATTAGATGTTTAATCCTTTTGATTTCAGATTCAAGAACCCACCAAATCGATTCTATCGGATCAATGCATATGATTCTGCAACTTTACAAGTCAAGTTGGGAAAGGTCTTGACTCTTGATCATATATACCAAGAAGGAAACTCTATATATGGTTTGAATCAGTAGTTTAGTGGTTATCATCTCCGTAAACATGGAGTCAATTGCCTTTAAGGTATAAAAGAGTGATTCACTTCAAAGATCTGAAGAACAATAAGATAGTTTCACCAACTTTGGTATAAAAGAGAGATTTTACTTCACAAATCTGAAGAACAATAAGATAGTTTCACTAACTTTAAGAGAGTTTGGCTATACTCTTATAGAAAGCTTAGTAAGTACTCTGTTTTAAATATTGTATTTGGCCATAGTATGTAGCTATTTACAGTATGTATTCACTCATGAGTCATGATTGGTCTTTAACATTCAAATTTCACCGAATACACAATTGTAATCTTGATTAGACTATTTACCCGTTTTTCTTCTTTTATAAAATCTAATAAGTGGCGACAAAAAAATAAAGAAAGTATTATTAATTCTATAATTAATAATAATTTTTTTACCTGTGTATGTATATATATCTCCCTGCTAGTTCTTTTAGTGATCATCATTCGAGTTTCTCTATCAGTCTCCCACACAAAGTCCCACATCTTCTCGCTCTAGTTTTTTGGTAGAGAGTTCTCTCTCTCTCTCTATCTAATTACATTTTCCGGGAAAGAGATTCTCGGGAGAAAAGAAAACAAGAAAAGCCTCAAGAAAGATATATCTTCGTCGATCGCTGCGATGAGTCGTTTCGCATGCTGTCTCGGAGGCGGAAGCTCAAGTAAAGTGGTGCAAGATCCAGCGGAACTACCACAAGCATCGGAAAGTAATGACGAACGAGGTGAGTAGTTTCAATTTGGAATATTGAACTCTCTGATGATCGTGAATTTTCTCCTTTTCTTATTTTCTTGTATCACAAGCAAGTCTGTTTTCTCTGATGATCGTGAAACTAATCTAGGATTCTTCTTCTTCTTCTTCTTTGTTATCTTTATTTCTTAAGGCTTAGTTACATTTCAATGGCAAGAGATCGTAGACGGAACTGAGAACTTCGGGGTGACACATTTGATCGGCCAAGGCAAATACGGCAAAGTTTATCGCTGCAATTTCCCAAGAATTCATAAGGTATGATGAACCTAAAAGTCTTGTCCTTTATGGTTAGAAATTCGAAACCCAATTTCTAAAACCAGCAACTTTTGATTGGTTAATTAGGTTGGAGCTGCAAAGATTCATAATCATGGCGACCATTCTGGTCTTTCTGAGTTTTTGGCAGAGATTACAACGTTACATGATGAAGCTGATCACCCAAATGTGATTAAACTTCTCGGAAAATTCTTCGGCCACCAAGACACTGCCTTAGTTTACGAATTCATGCCTAATGGCTCTCTTGACCACCATCTCTTTGGTAATCAATACAAACCCTAATCAACTCTGTTTTACTTGTATTCCAGTTCCAGTTTTGTTAACTCCTTCTCGTTTTTTGTAGCACACGCGAGGAAGGTTCAAGGTCTAACGCAAGAAACTAGGGTTTTGGACTGGGACACGAGGATGAGAATTGCTGTGGGTGTAGCCGAAGGCCTGGTTTACGTACACCAGGGGCTTTCTTCGATTCACAGAGATGTCAAAGCCACAAACATTTTACTTGATGATGACTTTGTGCCAAAGCTGACTGGTTTTGGAAATGCGGGTAAGATCGCTTACAATGAAGACGGCACTGAGAGACAGTGGGAGATCAATACGAATGGAAGTGAAGAAGACATCGCACCGGAAACAGAGAACTCCGGGTTGGTTTCGACCAAGTCCGATGTCTATAGCTTTGGAGTTTTACTGTTGGTGCTCTTCACTGGAAGGAAAGCTTATGATCCGGAGAGACCTGAAGCGAAAGTGAAACTCACTGATTGGGTAAGACTCAAAAACTTTGTTTAAACGTTTCGTGTTACTGAAGTAATATAGGTTTTCTCGGATGTGTATATTTCTTTTGCAGTTAATGCCAGTATTGGGTAGATTGGAGTATGCGCCTGTGGTACTTGATGTTGCTCTCGGTAAAAAGTACTCGGCTGAAGGTTTAAACAGAATATTTCAAACTGCGAGGATGTGTATAAACGCACAGCCACTTGAACGGCCTGCTATGGATTTTGTGGAAACTTTGGTTCGTGAAGCTGCAGCGTTCCCGGTTCAAGTGGTTCCCGAGGCGAAAGAGGAGGAGCGACGTTCTACATAAGAAGTTTGATCAGGCGATATTATTATGTAGGCTTTTTTTGGTTTTGTCAGAAACATATATCAGACTGGGTTATGTAACGGATGGTTTTGTTACTGCTTTTATGAAATGAGACAAGGTCAGGGTGTGAAGTTTTTGAGACAATGCCATCTGTAAAGTAGTTGTTAATCAACGTTTGAGATTATTTTTCTTCATTTCTCTGTTACTAAACTTTCTTAAAATAGAAGAGAAGATGAGGGAGAAGGAAAAACAGAACAGAATGGTTCTTACCTTTGGAATTTTCAAAACAATCTCTTTGGTTTCCGATGATGCATAGATTTGAATTCGAATTCCTTGAAAACCCACCAAATCAAACTGGATCAGATGGATGATTCTTCAACTTTACAAGTCATGTTGTAAAGGTCTTGAGTCTTGATCATATATACCACAAAACGTTTTACCGGTTGTTAGGTTATCTTTAGATCCACATCTTATTGAATGTTTCAATACAATAATTAGTCTTAACATTACAAAAATGATGTTGTTTTACATCCTATTTGATATAGGTATTGAATCAAATTTTCAAACCGTGTTGATCTAATGGAGGAAGCATCAACATCGACATCAGCACCAATGGCTGCAAAACCAAATGTTGTTAGAAAGACAATGGCCAAACAGCTGACTGGTAAACGTGAAGATTCGCCGCTCCATTCGGCTGTCAGACGTGGAGATTTCTCTGCGGTGACAGAGATTTTGAGTAATCATATGGAATCAGAAGAGGAACTGAGAGAGTTGTTGCGGAAACAGAACCAATGCGGTGAGACAGCTCTTTATGTGGCGGCAGAATATGGTGATGCCGAGGTGGTTGCAGAGCTCATCAAGTACTATGATCTTGAAGACGCTGAGACTAAAGCTAGAAATGGGTTTGATCCTTTCCACATTGCTGCTAAACAAGGCGAATTGGGTATGGATTTTGTTGTCTTTCATGAAATTTCAATCTTTTTGCTTGATATTAAGAATTGAACTTAAAATGACCTAAACATATGAAGAAATTTGTGATCTTTGATCTTAAGCATTGGGGAGAAACAACTAGATAAACACATGATGAAAGTGTTAATCTTTGTTTGATATAAGGAACCACGTTCATAAAATTAATGTGTGATAAACTGATGAAATTTGGAATATTTTTTATAGACGTTTTGAGAGTACTAATGGAGGAACATCCGGAGCTAGCAATGACGGTGGACTTATCAAACACGACGGCTCTACACACTGCGGCAGCTCAGGGACACGTGGAGGTTGTAGAGTATCTACTAGAAGCGGCAGGTAGTAGCCTAGCCGCGATCGCAAAGAGCAACGGTAAAACAGCATTGCACTCGGCGGCTAGGAATGGTCACGAGGAAGTCGTAAAGGCGATTGTGGCGGTTGAGCCGGACACGGCAACGAGAACTGATAAAAAAGGTCAGACGCCACTTCATATGGCCGTGAAAGGACAAAGCATTGACGTGGTGGTTGAGCTGATGAAGGGACATCGGTCGTCACTGAATATGGCTGATTTTAAAGGGAACACTGCGTTACATGTTGCTACTAGGAAAGGTCGCATTAAGGTTAGTTAATCATCTCCAATTACATAATTTGTGTTACAAATGGTGTTTTTACTCGTCTTAGAAATTACTTAATCCATATATCTTTATATCAAATATTTGCGTTTTTGTGTCTACAATTTATAGAGAAAAATTTAAAACATACGACGAGTGTTTTTAAACACACTAGTACTTAAATAATGTAATGTGTAGACATGTCCTCTGTAACTTAAATAGGTAATAAAACAGCTTAAATATATATACTTTTGTAAGATGTACATGCAACTTTTCGTTTTTTTATGTCCTTTTCATTACGTGTGACATTTAGCGACATTTATACGTTAGAAAATGAATATTATGGTATAAACTCTATAATACACACAAAGAATCGAGTCTTCACTATGTGTTATGATAAATCTTGGAAATTATTGAAAAAATATATAGTTTATTGAGATTTTAATTAACGTGCATGATTGCAGATAGTGGAATTGCTTCTAGACAACAACGAGACAAGCACAAGCACAACAGCGATAAACAGAGCCGGAGAAACGCCGCTCGATACGGCTGAGAAAATAGGCCATCCGGAGATCGCTGCGGTTCTGAAAACCCGCGGCGTTCCATCAGCCAAAGCCATCAACAACTCTACTCGGCCAAACGCTGCCCGTGAGCTTAAACAAACGGTGAGCGACATCAAACACGAGGTTCACCACCAGCTAGAGCACGCTCGAGAGACGAGGAAACGCGTTCAAGGAATCGCCAAACGCATTAACAAAATGCACGTAGAAGGTCTTGACAACGCTATTAACTCAACCACAGTCGTGGCCGTTTTAATCGCAACCGTAGCTTTCGCCGCCATTTTCACCGTACCGGGACAATACGCCGATGACTTGAGTTCGCTCTCTCCGGGACAATCCTTAGGAGAAGCGAATATAGCGGATAGACCAGCGTTTGCGATCTTCTTCATATTCGATTCCATCGCTCTTTTTATATCTTTAGCGGTTGTGGTGGTTCAGACTTCGGTGGTTGCAATCGAGCACAAGGCTAAGAAGAACATGATGGCTGTAATAAACAAGCTGATGTGGTTGGCTTGCGTTTTGATATCGGTGGCGTTTTTGGCGTTAGCGTTTGTGGTGGTTGGTGATGATGAGCGGTGGCTAGCCGTTGGGGTGACGGTGTTTGGTGCGTCTATAATGCTCACGACGCTAGGGACAATGTGCTATTGGGTCATAATGCATCGTATCGAGGCTTCTAATGTGAGAAAGTCCAGGAAAGAGTCCATGGAAAGGTCGAGACAATCAGGATTGCTGGAATTTTCTGGGATTTTAACAAAGAGAATGTATGCTATTTAGTGATTTAGATACAAAGATCATGTAGAAATTAAGCAGAGACTGATGAAGCGTGTGAAAGAAGTAAACAAAGTTATAACGTAAAAATTGTGTTATTTGTTTCTTCCGTTTATTTTTTTTTTGGTAAAATGTTTCTTCCGTTTATGATATAATTATAATGTTCTCTCTTACAAAAATTATTTCATGCCACGTTTAAAACTAGTATTGAATTTTATAGAAATGAACATTTCTTTCTATTTTTTTTTTAAAATGTAGCAGTTGACAAAAAAAAAAGTGGAAGTTATCAATGGATAAGAAAATTGATTCTGAGATCATTGTGTATCGCTTACACGTCAATATTTTAATAAATATATCAAAATAATACAATCGTTATTACCATGATAAATTTTTAAAAAGCCTATTGGTCAATGGTACATTGTAAAATAACAAAAAATATTCTCTAAACATTTTATTAATTTATATCAAAACATGGTTTACTAGTAAAATATGTTTAAATAGACATAAATAGACATCATGCACCTGTATAAAATTATAAAAACTACAAAGACAACTACTGAAAGTAGACATTTATGATTATATAATTAGAAAAAAAATGAAATGATGTCAACATCAAAGATGAATCATAACGACATTATATAGACATTATTTATACAGTTATATGATCCAAATTCCTAAAACCAAGAAGAAAAACAGAACAGAACAATTCATAATCCTTCTTTTGTGTTCTTTTTTCATGGAGTCTTCTTCTTCTCTTCTTCCTTCTCAATGGTCTGATCTTCCTTTAGATATTCTTGAGTTGATCTCCGGTCGTCTTGACCACGGCGGCTCATCAGACGCAGTTGATCTCCTCTGTCTCCGCTCTGTGTGCGCCACGTGGCGTCTCTGTCTTCCTCTCTCCGACAACAACAAAAAAAATCGTTTGTCTAAATTCCCAGAGTACCTTCCTTTTTGGTCATCTTCTTCACCAGCCTCTGGTTTCTTCGTTCTGAAACAGAGTAGTATCTATAAACTCGAAGCTCCTTTGAATCCAAGTACTTGGCTGGTTAAGCTTCAAGAGACATCCCCTGGGAAAATGCGAGTATTGGATCTCTTCTCAAACGACAGAATCTGTTTCTTACCTGATAAATTCCCGGGAAAGATCGATTTGCAGGAGTTTCATGTGAGATTGGTTCGTAGAGCTTATCGTATGGAGTACGCAAACAATGGTGGTGGTGAGATGTCGTGTTTCTGGTCTCTGAGCTCCGAGAAAGTTGTGATTTTTTCTTCAGGGGAATGCTCTGCGATAATGGCGATTCACAGTGGTGGGAAATTAGGGTATTTGAAAAGCGGAGACGAAGAAAGATGGAGAATTTTGGACAATTCGTGGAATGTGATTTACGAGGACATATTGTTGTACAGAGAGGAGAGCTATTGCATCGTTGTAGACGACAAGGGCAAAACCGTAATTTACGATGTGGATTTCAAGGTTTCGGATTTGGCTGATGGTTTGGTCGGAGGAGGAGGCCACAAGAAGCATCTGGTGGAATATCCCGGCGGAGAAGTGCTGCTGGTTGACAAATACGTGAAACACGTTTGGTGCAAATCGGAGAACTCCAAATCTGCGGTGGAGTTTAGAGTTTATAAGCTGAAGAGAGAAGAGAAGAGATGGGAAGAGGTGAGAGAGTTAGGAGACGTGGCTCTGTTTATAGGAGATGACTGTTCTTTCTCCGTTCAGATTCCTGCCGGAGATTCCGCCGGAGGTTGTATATTCTATAGAGACTATAGAAATGGAGGACGAAGCAGAAGGATTTGCAGCGACGGTGATGGTGTCTTCAATGTGGACATTTCCTATAAAGCCCAAATATTTGGGCCTATTCTATGATTTGGGCCTTCAGTTCCGCTGTTCAATTTATAAAATAATAAGCCGTAATTGTATATGACAAACGGAATATTACAAAGTTAATGAATGTGTTATACATCAGAATTTGTGATTGTATTACAATGGAAGCATGTGGACTGCAACAACATCTAACGATTTTACAAAATTTGCCATGTGAGAGAGGGTAACCAAAGTTTTCAATTGGAGAAATAAATTGTCTACTTGTTTTCCAAACAATAATCCTGATAGGTCTCTTCTAGTTGCCACAAAATTTGGAGAAATAAAAGTTAATGCTTTGGGCCAGTGATGCCTTCCCACAACTATCTTTCTTTTTTGTTATAAGTAGTAGTAGTCGGTGATGGAACAAGTTTGAGCTTGATATGTGAATGTTTTTTTATTTTTTATAAACAACCTTACGCATATAGACGACAAAGTTTTTAGTTGATTGACAAGATCCAAGAGATAAAAATCTTTTGATCAAACAAACGCATAATTCTAACAGTATGAACAGATGATTTATATAGATTTGTCCCTCAGCTTTCAAATCCATGTGTACCCCTCTCTCTCTCAGATGGGATAATAAAAAAAATGTAAAATCGAAAATATGAATGAAATGATATATTTACTAAATGACAAATTTCAACCGTAAAAGTTTGTTACCTTTGGTCTTTGAGTTTATCTCGAATTCCAACTATATGATATATGAAAATATTTAAATTTTCTCAATGTATGTAATTTGAGAGCACATGGAGGCAATGATCTATCTATCTGTCTATCTGTAAAAAGATACATAAAACAAGTAACTTTTTATTTTATTTTTTATAATCATTTTTTTTCTCTTACTCACTCACTCACTCACTCGCCATTGCAATTGTATTTGTATTTCTATTCACAGATCCAAAGTCCTATCATTTTCTTGGATTCTGATTCTCCCAATTTCATTTTTCTTGTGGGGATACATATATATAAACATAAAACATATCTGCACCTTTGTTTTGTTTTCCCAAGAAAAACAAATTTTTTCACAATCTTCTTTGTCTTCTCTTTAAACTTCTTCTTAAAGTCGACAAGATTTTGTGGTTTCCCCCATTTACCTCTTTTTCTTGTTTCTTTTTGAGATTATATTTTTTGTTTTTCTTCACTCAGTCACTTTGCTAAATTTTTCCCGCGGGAATTTTCTTGCTCGAGAAAGTTTGAGAATTTTTTCTTTCTTCAATGGCGTCAAGAGAAGTATCAACGATGATCAAACAAGGGTTTATCGCTGACCCTTCTCTCTCGTTTTCTCCGTCAAGAATCACATCTCCCGTTAAATTCTCCACCGCCTCCCCTCCTCCTCCTCCGCCGCCTCCTCCGCCTAACGAATCGACCCACTCCAACCCGACTCTTTTTGATATGATGTCCGATGAGCACAACCGCGAGCCGCCACCACGGAGGAAATCTCACGCGCGCGTGGCTCAAATCTTGACCGAGTTCAAGAACGGCGTCGTTTACGGCCACAGCCTCGGGCCAAGCGACGTTAAGCTGACTGTGGTGGGAAAAGACGGTTACAGAGTCACCATGGATGTTCATCGGAAGGTTTTGTCGGAGAAGAGCAGGTTTTTCATGGAGAAGATGAATTCTAGAAGAGAGAAAGGGGTTTCTCACATGGTGGAGATAAGCGAGTGTGATGAGTTGGAGATTTATGTTGAGACTGTGGTTTTGATGTATAGTGATGATCTCAAGAAGAAGTTGATCGGTGAAAATGTCATCAAAATCTTGGCTTTACTTAAGGTATTTTGTTCCATCTTGATTTTGATAAGATTGTTTTTTGGTTTGTTTGCTTTGATTTTGTGATGGATGGTGAATCTCTTTTTTTTTTTTGTATAGGTTTCTGCAGCTATAATGTTTGATGAAGGAGTAGAGTCTTGTTTGCAGCATTTGGAAGCTGCTCCTTGGTCAGAAGATGAAGAAGAGATTGTTGTGTCTTGCCTTGAAGAGCTTCATCTTCCTGCTGATTCGGTCACTTTGATTCTTCAGAGAGTTTCATCTGAACCTTCGACTTCCTCGACGAGAACGAGAACCGATGATATCTTCTTGAAGCTTCTCACTGGTGTTCTACAAGCCAAAGATGATAAAGCTCGGCGAGAGATGAAAGTTTTGATCTTTAAGTTGATTAGGGAAGAAGCTGATTATGATGTCTCTAAAGACACACTCTACGGTTTGTGCCATAGATGTCTCACATCTCTTGTGCTTTGCTTATCTGAAGTGACTACACAAATGAATGATCCGGGGAAAGACCGTGGTGCTTTGATGGGAGAAATCGCCAGAGAAGCCGAGAACATGCTATGGATGGTAGATATCTTGATTGAGAAGAAAATGTGTGATGAGTTTGTGAAACTATGGGCGGATCAAAAGGAGCTTGCGAATCTTCATTCCAAGATCCCAACAATGTACAGACACGAAATAAGCAAGATCACCGCGCAGATATGTGTTGGTATAGGTAAAGGAAGGATCTTGGTGAACAGGGAGACTAGGTTTGCGGTTTTGAATACCTGGTTAGAGGCTTTGTATGATGATTTTGGGTGGATGAGACGGTTATCTTCGAGATCTCTGGATAGGAAACTTGTGGAAGATGGACTCAGCCAGACCATATTGACCTTGTCGCTGAGACAACAACAGGTGATTCTAATGAAATGGTTTGATCGGTTTCTGAGCAAAGGCGATGACTGTCCAAATGTTCAACGTGCGTTTGAGGTGTGGTGGAGAAGAGCTTTCATAAGACAGGTCTTGACAGAGCCAGATGGATCGCAGCTGCAGATTACACTCTATGACTAAGCCAAAATAGCATATTTTTTTTTTTGTTCTTCTTTTGTAAACTGTTACTATTTGTGACTTTCACTGAGATATAAAGATTCAAACGAAAGTGGCTCAGGGATATTTTGTCAATAACAGTCAGGGCACCCAACCATTTTTCCCTTGTGTAAACCAAAAATCCGATATCTAGTTTGAATCTAAATTATGCTTGCAAAGTTTTCCTAACCGTGGGCTTATCTAAATTGGCGGATTATTGCCCGGCCTTTGCTTACCCGTTAGTATGCAAATTGGGTGCTTGAGTTAGAGCCAAAGAATTGATTTCATTCATCTGCCTGATCTTGCATTGCTTGTCATCTTATATAGTTTGCAAAGTGAACTGCTATGAAACTATGTTTCCGTCTTTTCAAGAGATAATTGGATCAGCTCCATATTTCAACTTGGGTAGATCATCGGTCCTGTTGATCAAGATTAACACATAGTTAGTTTCACAGAGGAGATTTATACGGCTATGGCACAAACCGAAAAAATGGTATTTGATACCGGAATCTATGAAGACAATGAAAGGATAACGAATTAAGCTTAAGCCTATGTTGAACGTTTACATATTTTCCAATATCATAAAAGGGCTCATGGATGCAGTAAGTCAAGAGAAATCCAGTAATGTCATAAGGAAAAGTCGCAACCTGAACCTTAAAAAAGAGGAATGAAATCTGACCTTTGGAGGACTTTGAGTATTCCGGTTCCGAGCTTCATTGGTATGCCCATAATCACACATTCTGTAACTCCCTCTATGTTATCCACCTTTCCACTAATTGCTGCACTAAATAAATGATCTCCAGTCCTCTCAAAAGATGCCTGCATCAGCACACTTTTATCCATCTTCTGAATCCCGGTTCTTTGTATCCCGAGAACCTCCCCCTGATCAAGAAATTGAAATGACATTTTTATCGTTAATATGACAAGATTAGAAAAAGTTATTATTAGAGAATAGACATCATAATAACAGATTCAGGTGTCTTAGAACTGACCCTGTACGTCATGACATCAGCCAAAAGCATCATGTGACGAATGTCTATACTCATACCATGGTTTCCCATTACTGTCCCTATTTCATCAATAATTGTTGTCCTTGCAGCTTCGATTCCCAGTGTTTTGCTCACTTCGACAACATTATTACTTGTAGTAGTTCTCCCATTGATTCCTGGAGTTCCCATAACAGCCAGGAGGTTTGTGCTGAAACATATATCAAGAAAAATATTCAAACGGGAAATAGAAAGAGAGCACATTTTCTCTTTCACACCACAATTTTGTCAATAACTATCCTTCGAAGTTCTGTTGGTTATTCATGAGAGTTCCAAATGGACATGTATTTGTATTAGAAAGCATTTCGTTTAGTTCAAAATTTTGGTTTAAGCATGTGAAATACTGACAATCATATCAGTGGCTTACCAAAAAACAGAAACAAAGACTGCTTAATGACAAAATCAAGTATCCACCATATCAAATCATGCCCAACGAGACATGTTATATCAGCTAAGCTAGCACTTACAGTAAGGAAAAAAGAACAGAGGAAATCTCGTCTCTTGAAGCTCAAGAAAACTTACCCCTCCACAAATAGTTTCCACCTTTTTTTCCCATCTATCTGTTTATTTTTATCCATATCCTCCGCGACAACAACTCGCTCAACTGTTTTGATCCCCTATAATAACAAATCAACAGAAAGAATTCTCTCAGTCGGTGAAAGATAAAATATACTTGAAGAATCGTACAAATTTTTTGTATATATGCGAGAGAGAGTGGTTTAACGAATATCACATTCACTATAATACTTGGCAGCACATTCTTCAGATTGTGGAGATTAAAATGAGTTCTACTTTTATCCACCACAGGAGTAATGTCCAATCCCGTATCTAAGACCCTAATATCCTGCAAAATTTACATTGCTATGAGACTAAAGACCTGTGTGCCCCGCAATGAACACATCAATAAAATCTAAGGAACTTACATTATCGGTCAGTTTGATTCTGGGGGTCTTAAGGATGGAATTTTTTACCGACCAGGGGCTTATAGATAAACATGCCTCCTCGATTATTTTATTGTCAAGAATTATTCTCACTGACGCTGATGTTGAAGTCATTAGCACCTCGATACTCTCAGCAACCTGGTCCAACAATCCAATAGTTGTTATTAATAAATTGCCATCTGCAATATGAACTTAAAACAAGCAGCAGCAACTATCAAAAAGATTGGATAGGTAAAATAATTGAGATCAAAATTTGGAGGAAAAGAGAACCTGTCCTAGAGTAGTTTTTTCGATGCGTCCTTTCACCCATCGTGCACTAGTCAATTCCAGGGGGTTCTCAAGTTCTGCAGAGATGACAGGTGTGCTTATATTTTTTGAAGCATTTATGATTTCGTTAATTCGGGGGACTCCTTGTGTGATATCTGAACCAGAATCAGGAAATCAAAACAACAAACTACTCATATGTGCTCATAAGCACTAGTTTTGTAGCGACATTCTGAAAATACATATTTTTAACAAGGATACTCATGCTCGCAACTCCGGCAAAGTGAAAAGTTTTAAGAGTCATTTGTGTCCCAGGTTCTCCAATACTCTGAGCTCCTATTGTCCCAATTGCAGTCCCAGCCTCAATTTTTTTTTCCCGATAGCGAGATACACAAATTTTTACAAATACCTGCATATTTCTATATATCAGAGGTAATATTTCATATTTTTTCCAAACACCACAAGAAATGGGAAATTTTCTTCAGCTTATAGAAAATATACCGCTGGAGAAAATAGGTGTGAAATTTTTTAGTCGATTAGATGTAGTACATATAATCAAGGACTCGCACAAAGAACACTGAAATGCAAAATGCACAGAGTATTTTTCTTCTACAAAAGGAAGACAAAGAAACTCACCTCGAGTTGCTTATCAGTCACACCAGATGCTTTATATAAAACCTGGGGCGGGCTTGCAGACTTAACTCCGAGCAAGGAAACAAAATCTCGAAGAGATTTCACAAAGGCATCAGTGCAAACCCGATTTTTATCATGTCTTACTAATTCCTCTTCAAACTTTTGCGACAATTCTTCTGAAGAAAGATAGTTGTGGTGAGATCGAGGAGGACATGTAGCCTGCAAATGCAACAACCGATTGTGATAAAACTCTAAATAAAGAGAGACCAAACAACCAATATACAAATATCCAAAAAAAGCACCTGAATTTTCAGAAATAATCTATTAAAATTTAAAGGAGCTCCATCCTTTCCTTCCATTAGTGCTGGGTCCATTCCATCATCCCCATAAGTAAATTGAAGTATACATCCGCTGGCATTTCGTACTGTGTTGTCATAATGGACTAATAGATCCTCCAAGGCTTTCATCAATCTACGGGACATGTAACCTGTACTGGCAGTTTTCACCTGCAATAGACAAGAGTATAGTTACAAAAGGGTGAAGACTATCTTCATTCCAGATATTAAAACACTGTCACCCTACAGAGAACCATCATGGCTGTCTCTTTCAGTGAAAACCTTTTCATATTTTACAGTGGAGCAGGATGGAAAAAACAAGAGACGGATTTATGCATACCGCTGTATCAACTAGACCTTCTCGTCCACCCATAGTGTGAAAGAAAAATTCTGTGGCAGTAAGACCACTGTAGAACGAATTAGCAACAAAACCTTTAGCCTGCAATGCCAAGAAGACATGAGATCAGGTCCTAGCTCTCAAAGCAGTAAATCAGACCGGAAAATGGTTTGATCAGGCTACTATAGGGTCAGGCTCAAGAAGCCTACTATAAATTATTCAGTGGTGAGAAATGGTTCTACTTGTTCAGAGCACCTCCAACTAATAGCTTAAGAAATTTTCCAAAACATTTCTGGTAATTAGGAGAGCTAGCAGCATCCAATATGTTAAAGATTGCTCAGGGGGGTTAAAATAGGGGGAGTATTGCAACGCAAGAGAGGTGAAAATAGAACAAACACTTAACAGATCATCTTCGAACAAAAATAAATCAGTCAATCGGGGGGAGTGGTTGGCAAGCTGTATACTTACTGCAGGTGATTTGGACATCCTAGGGAAATGAGGAAGGCTTCGATCTATAAATCCATCAGGAGCACGGTGACCATTAACTGTCTGCTGACCAACACATGCGACCATCTGACTGATATTGATAGGAGATCCTTTGGAACCACATTGTGACATGATCAAGGGACTGTTTCTCCAATGTAATCCGTCCATACAGGCCTGTATATCACAAATATAATGACAAGATTAAGGATTCATTGTCATTTGATTAATGTAGATAAACTGTCAAAGATATTCCTTCAGTATAGAGTTTTTTACTCGTTACTCATCTTGGAAACATTTATAACTCACCTTTGAAACAAGAAACTAATGAAACTAGAACGCAAAAAAATAATATAATTGCAAATCAAAGTGTCACCTCAGGCCATACACCTATCTTAGTAAATTAAATCACATTTCTACCTTAAAACATGAATATACTAACTGGAAATATAAGCTACGTATTCACCTTCCCAGTGTCTTCTCGAATTGTATTAAGAATCCCTGTTATGCCAGCTTCTAATGTTTTTGCACCATCTAGACCAGCTTTAAGTTGCAAATTTCCTCGATTAAAATTCTCAATTATGCTATGGCAGTCGTCATATCCAGACTGGATTGCGTCTTTCCTTTGCCTACTCAACTCTTCCCCAGGTTGAACGTCATCGATTCCAATGGAGAATCCATGGATTCCAATCCACCGAGCACTGCACAAAACAAGATAAAAAAGCTACCAATTAGACAAGAAACTTTGATTTACTCAATGCCGCGATGCAGCAATGGCAGATAGCAGAGAAAGGTCACAGAAAACACAGTACATACAAAGCAAGAACAGATAACTTTTGAAATTAATTATAGAGATGAAGCAGAAAACGAATAATCAAGACAAAGATGGATAATAAAGATTGAAGTGTTGCAGTGAGATCAAGGAAAAAGTAGTCAGAAAAGATAAAACAATCCCATATGCATAAAAATGAACTCACCTCAATTTTGCTAGCCGATTCATGCAAACTGCAGCAGCATGAGAGTTGTAATCTCTTAGAAGAATAGAATATAATCCATCCTTGTTTCCATTCCCTAGATAA